AATCTCTTTATGCCAACGTGATGTTATTTACCAGTCACGAGTACCCGACAATACTAGTTCTTGAAGTAATATAGTTAAAAGGAACCCTTTCGTTTCAAGTTTCGCTAGTTACGGTGGCTGGAGGTGATCTGCAAGCGAAAGCGTGAACTGCCGTTGCATTATTAGCCTGTCGATTAGGCCCCACACTGGAGCATCTTCTGTACGCTCTTACCCTTTCATCCACCGTACTTTCTTATCCGAAGGCCTTCGGCAGATGCCAAGGAGTCATTATGCGATTTTTCTATAACATAACAATCTATAATACATATGAGTACCCTCAGATCAAATATGGACGTCTATAATTTTTAAACAGTTGGGAAAAAGCCAATTTTTGTTTGATAACTTCAACTCACAATAGACCAATCCTAATGATTGTTTGAGTTGAACCTATAAAACGAAAATTGACTTTTTCTCCACTGTTCGGAAGTAACAGATATAAAGCCACTCAAATAAAATATGTATATGCTTAAAAGTTAAATGATGTGTAATTAAGTGCTATGTACAAATAGGATTGAAAAATATGCTGTATTGAGCAATCCCTTGTAGTGGGGCAGCACCCCTTTAAATAAAGTATATCTACAAGTTTTTTAATAGAATTTTATGAAATTGTTACTAGATCATCTCTGCACTAATTCTCCAATTTCTTCCTATATAAAGCCAAATCTAACGTATGGTTGTTAAGAGGAGTACCAAGGAAAGTACATTTGCGATTATTTGATTTTTAATTTGATATTCGATACAATCTATAAAGTATATTGTTTCCACTAATCACCATTTTTTTTCTAGCTTTGAATCAAATCGAACGAGATACTTTTTCAAATATATACATATTTAAGAAAATACATTATTACATAAGTATGCGAAAGTAGTAGATAGAATTCGATGAAACTACTATATGATCATCTAGGCATCAACCCACAGAATCTCAGACCACTTCATGAAAATCAGATTTACAATATTAAGTAATATACACGTCATCTGAATTTTAATGCTTAATGCATACAAACAAACACGAAACCGGTTTTGTTCCTCTATCTCTAAAGTTTTTAACACTAGTCGCAATTGTCGATTTGAAGCAAAAAAATTTTATTAAACTCCCTTACGATTGCAAAACTTCCCTACCTTCGGCTGTGAGAAACAAATAAAACGTTCAAATATAAAGTTTATATGAGTTTTTCTTTCACTTATACTTTATGGAAGCGGTGACAAATGTTTCACACTTTCCCACTCTTATTATCTCAATTATTTCAAAAACTGGTGCAAAGTAATTCACTTTAATGGAACTTATAACTTAAACGCCTTGAGTAAAATTGCAGTAAACGTACTGAACAAGCCGTTAATTAAAACATTCGGTTGTAGTGATGCAGCTAAGGCCAACTGCATTGAGAACATTCTATCAAATATTAATATTTATTTGATAGAATGTTCATGTTACTGAGACAAAAAAAATGGAATAAAATAAGGAAGGAGATGGTCCAGAGTAGCAGTCATAAATAGACTAGATTTGCATGTCTTCTTCTGGGAGGTGTGTTCAGCTAGGAGTTTCTTCTTCTCCTAAATCCTTGCTGAACACACTTCTCTGAAGAAGAGCAAAGTCGGGTCGAAACGTTGGTTTTTAATAAAATAGTTTTCCCACTATTTAGTCTTTTTATGACCGATCTCCGGACCATCTCTTTCCTTAATAATACAACGGTCAACTATTTAGTATTCAATAAAATAAAATAAGTATCGGTAGATTATTACTGGAGAACATCGAAAAATGAAGCTCAAAGTCTGCCTCAATACCATAAAAAAAACTAACGTTTTGCCAATTCAAGTACGTAATACACATCAATGGTCTAAAAAAAAATACTAATACAAATGATCTACTCATCACTTCTAAACATTCAAATCATACTGAGCTGAGTATCTTAGGGAGTTTTTATGAGTTCGTTGAACATTTACTGCTTAGTTTTCTAATTCATTTATTTTAATCTTACAATAAAATGAATATTTAGGTTCTGAATGTTGTCGTTTGTTCACAATGTTCTGAAACCATTTGCATATAAAGTACTTCTGCTCAACTGGCAACACTTTTACGACTCGAATTAAGGACTCATTATTTGCGTTCTAATTCCCATACTCCCTAATCATCCCTTCTTCACGAATCCCTTTATGAATTTTAAATTTTATGATTTGATATTCTTTATTTTATCAGCTCCACACGTGCCTTTCTTCTACCTCATAATTTCGGTGGAATTCCACTCGCCCTGTTTATTCCCACTCCTAATCCTCTTAGTCTCATGTTGTGTTTTTTTTTTTCTTCTCTCTGTTATTCCCTTCTGCACGAATTGTTTTATCTCCAGTTTGAAAAGTAGTAGTGTTGAAAGCTACGAGGCCTTGGTTCTTATGCAATTTCAATTTACTCCTAATGCTGTTTGTGCTGCCATATTACAGCTATATCCTTTCTAATCGGATTAAAAATAACAATTATAAATTGTGCTGGGATTCCATTGATGACAATTTTATCTTAAGTAATTGGAATTACCTTAGAGTATTAATGCTATTCGTTGAATTGTATGATACTATGCTTAAACTGGTTCTGTATATACCTTTTTTTTTTTGTACATGGTTTGGCGAACTCGATGACAAGACTTTTTTTTTTATTTATGAAATTTACAACTTTATTCAAATAAATATATATCTATTAAATGTGATACAGAGAAATACAATGGCATGAAAAGACTTGTGGAGAATCTACTCATTGCACTCTAATAAAGCACCTAAATTAGGAGATCACGAGCCCATCTTATTTTCAGACGCCTCGAGGAATTATCAAGGATCGAAGAGGAAGCAAGGTTAGAAACAGGAGGATTGGGATGGTTCTGAAGTTTATCGTGAAAGATTAGGTATCTGGATTGGACCAATTCGGAAGCATATGGAATATTAAGGTCTTTATGGATTATTTTATTTCTAACAAAGTAAGGATGATTTTACGTAGGATTGGATACGAGAGGAATTCGATGAACAGTACTAGAATCTTATTTTAATCATAACTTAGGTTGGCCTACTTTTATCTTTCTTATGATTTATAAACCTAATAAACTCACCATTTTCTTTGAAACTATTAAATTAATTAGTATTTCAAAAGCTTTCGTTAGTTTTACAATAATTTTATAAATTGCAGCAGCTGTGAATATATACATAATCATGTTATTTGTTGACTTGATGTAATTTATTGGTAGTTACTTCGCGGTTATCTGTCATTAGTTTATTAACAATTTATAAAAATAACATCTTACCTTTCCTCCAAGTTCCGAATGAATATTTAAAAATTGAAACTTGAATTTTTGAACTCCTAACCTTAGTTGTTATTCTTGCAACCGTTCGTCGCAGATTCGTTGGCTTGTAGTTATCAAGTTATTTATGTATTACATGAAATTAAATTTCATCTGCCATTAAAACGTTTTTTTTTATTAATCAAACACTGGTTTTTATTGAGAAGTACCTATCATGAAGTCTTACAATAATAAAATTCAAACTCATAACTTTAGTAATTTATTTTCAGCAATTTGTGCGCTGATATGAAATCAATAATATCGGCCATAATTTTTTAAAAAATATTTTGGTAAAGACCGATCTGTGCCGTGTGATTGGCAATAAGTTATATATACTTCCATATATACAAAATTCACACACACAAAAAATATATATTTATATATAGTTACAATATAAATAAATTTCCCAAAGAAATAAATTGATAAAAAAAATATCAACTACATTCTATACGTTAAAGATAAAAAATTGAGATATTAATTTATTTTATTCTTATTTTGTTATTTACTATTTGTTTTGCATTATTATTTAATCATTTTATAACTATATTTTAAAGCGACATTCATTTATGGAATCAGAATTTTTAAGAAGAAGAAGATTTATATCGTCAAAAATAAATTGATTCATAAATAAGTTAATAAGCGGAGAGATTTTAAAGTTCCTTGGGTAAATATATATTTCTGCCTCCAAAGGCTTGAAATTTTGATTTTTTTTTTTTTTTTGGACCTAAACCCCAAATTAATTCTCAACCATATTGTCTACAGTCAGCTTTTTCTCCTCCATTTTCTTACCCTTTTGAATATGATGGTTGAATCCATGGCCCATCACTCCTACATGACACATCCAAAATACTCAATAAAACATTACTATCTATTTATTGTTCGTAATAAATAGTAGCCTATATATTATTTAGACGTTTAAAAGAAATTTAATGCAAACTAAAACAGGACTGAGTGATGAAACAACAGCCAGGCAGAACAGACTTGTAAACGAGTTCTTTCATGCTCGAAGCTATCTAGCGAAGGTATCTATTGTGGTCAAGCTTGGTATGTAAGGAGGAACAGAAGGGCCGACCTTGAGAAGGTCACAGGGCTTCGGAGTAATCTAAGAAACTATCAACGCCTACGCCTAAGCGTTTAAAGGCCTACTCGTCATCAGAAAAATTAAAATTGATTTGTAGACAATTTTTTGTTTAATCTATAATAAAATAGTGTAAAGTTATCATGATCCAATTTTATAAACCGGTTGCATCAAAAAGTCAGAAGCTCATATAATTTAAAGATTTATCTACTCCTCGACTATAAAGGAATGTATCCTTGTAGTAAACTTAAATGGGTCCATATATTATCATTAACTGTTTTTTGTACAAATATTACAATTAGCTTAATTTAGTTGTTAGCCTATTTCCCGATTTTACTTAACTCCTTGGAAAATGTAGGTCAGAGACTTCCAACACTTTGAAACCTTTGGCTATCTGTCGTATGTTCGTGTACCGCAATACAAATAGGTGTAATGAGACCCTATCCTTATGTGACAGACCTCGATCGGGCCGTCCCCGCACTGTGATAACGGAAAATGTTGTGAGTGCTGTGGCTGCTCGAATCAGAAGAAATCTCATTCGAAAACAACGAATCATGTCTAGGGAAATGGGAAGCTCTGTCAGATCAATGTCTCACATGATAAAAAGTGACCTTATGTACATTTCGAAGAATGACAGGAAGAAGGCTAACCACTTCCCTAAAAATAATCAGAGTGGACCGATGCAAATTGCTCCTTGGCCATTACACCAATGGTATTCATCGAATGATTTTTTTTAGCGATGAGACAATTTTTACAATTGAAGAAAGATTTAATCCCCAAAATGATCGTGTGTACGCACACAGCTCTAAAGAAGCCCAGGAAGTCATCACCCTTCCATTGTAGTTCCCCAAGATATTTAAACGATTTTTTTCCTTATCATTAGTCATTATTTCGGTTTTTTTTTTCAACCAGACTCTTTCTGCTATTTCATTCAGTTCATTCATCTGATTAACTGCCTGTTGTTCACTTGCCGCCATAAGTGCTATATTATTCGTGAAAGCCAATCACCTGATTTATATATATAAACTTAATTACTTATTTTATTATAGTGTTATATTAATTCCCTTGATACCTTCCTCTTCAAGATGGTCAGAGGCAGCTACTCCACGCTTAGCAGCACACAGGAGATAGTGAGAGAAAAAGAAGAAGAATACTATATAGATAATAATTATAAAATATTATAACTGTTGTGTCCTATGCCTTCTTCTCAAAGTATATTCAACTAGAATGGCAATTAATTGTTTTGAAAAGTCTGGAATCTCTCTTTCAATGCCGTTGAGCGAAGCCGAGTCGAGGAGTGGCCTACTCCATTTTAAACAGGCATTAAACTTGCAAAAGAGCACTTGACGAGTGAAATCAAGAGGAACCACCCAATTACTAAAAAGGACCTCATTGTTAGTCCCCCCGAAGAGGTCGGGGGATTACACAAGAAGATTCAGTAGCCCTCGGTGCTTTCTTTGTGCTCGGGCGTGTGGGTGCCTTTGTCCTCAACCACCGGGGGCCACTTTCACCTCTCCGTAATATATTTCTTGAATAATTTCATCCTTGGCCGGTTCCAGGATTCGTTTTTTTTATCAGGCTGATCGTAATGACTGTCCATTTTGCAATCTCGACGGGATATTTGTCAAGTTGCTAAGGCAACACTTGGAACTCTCGTTGCGTTCAAACCTAATTAAAGAAACTCGTCTATGAAATGGTGTCTGCAAGCGGAGAAACAAAAATCCGCTTTGAAGACTTGAAAAAAAAGAAGGTGTGTTACATTGGTTTTAATACTGCATTTTTCACATAAATAATAAATCACTAAATTATTTTTAGGATATTATGTTATATATGGTACCAAAACAAAGCCACACTCAAATAGTAATAATTTATAAACTAGCCTACGTTTGGCCAAATCAGACATCATCAAAAGACGTAAGATTAGATTTATAAAGACCAAAGACTGATGCCACCTTTATAATTTTTTTCTTCTACTCAATCTTAACAGTTACTTACTTATACTTATAATCCTATGATATTATTATTACAGAAATATAGTTTAGTATATTACTTCAGAAATACTCTTCAATATCGAAATATAACTAGATTTGATTTGGAGAATAACATATTATTTTTGTTTGTTTTATATTATATTCCAGTCTTTAAAAAAATATTTAGAAATAAAATTAAGTATATATTTAATTATTAATGGATTGTATCAAAGGGTTTGAGGCCGCAGTGATCGGGCATGTTAAGGTGCTAAAAAAAATTGATGTCATTAGTTCAAATCCCGTTCGCAGGATTTAATAACATAAAAAAGATGTAAAATAAATTAAAATAAACAATTACAGGCCCTACTCAATTAATTAGATCACTACGGTGCGGGTTCGATTTCCTTCGTGGGGATGGCAATAGTGTTGCCCAAATGCGAGACCGAGACGAGTCTTATTAGCTTATTACTATAGAGATATTATTGTAATTTTTTAGATAGCAATAAACTAATTAAGTCCGAATGAAAAATTAGGAGAGTTGTATGCAAAAGTATTGTGGTTATACCAATTATTATCATATAGTAACTAATATTGTCAAGTATTAGTAACCATTTTGCCTTAATTTTAATTAAAACAATCGATTTTTTCTACTAGTACTGTTCAAATATACCAGTCTTGGTCTTGCAACAGTTTGTCTTACAAAGTGCAAGACCAAGACCGATTTTAGGTAACACTAGATGGTAATATCCCCATTCAGAGATTCATAGGAAGGTGTACGACCCCTATATCTTACACCATAGCTCCTGTTCCTCAGGATTGGGGATTGGACGTAGGGCTGATAATTCTCTATATTCCATAAAAAATGGAAGAAGATTTCTGCAAAAGGTTGGCAACCATCCTTCAGGAAAGTTTCTGATGAAGAGGGAGTGATTTGTGATCGCGTCCGGTTAGTAAACCACGTGTTCCCTGGATATCGTCAAGGGTGTCTCCTATATCAGCCCCAAAGTTGCTAGACAACTCGTCGAAAAGTCAAGAGGCGTAAGGAAAAAAGAAGAGTGATTTTTTACTCTTTTGTATTTTATTACATTATGTTTATACCAGTTTAAAATTATTTTTTTTTTATTACCACGGATAAACAGTGGTTGGATTGTCCATGGAGAAAAAAGGCATTTAGCTTTTCCAAGTAATAAATATCGAATCAGATATTGATTGCTTTGATTAGAAAATAATAACTAATAGAAATAAACAAAAAAAAAATGTTCACGAAAGTAATTACTGTAAAAAAAGTTTTTAAGAGTCACTATAAGAAGGATCCGCTGTGGGACGTCACCGCAGAAACACTGTCCGGAATAATCAGAGTATGACCGCTTTTTTTAGAAGTAGGTGTTTCGCCTTCCTTCACGGTCCGGGGCCCTAACCAAGTAATTAAATCCTATTTACTTCTAGGGCAGTTTAGTCTCCTCTTCCAGGAGTGGTTTCTTATACTCGCCAACGGGCTATTGGCTTGCAAGGCAAGACAAAGGCAACAGCCCTTTGACGACAAACGAAGCACTATTTTCATTAAGTCTCTCTTCGGAGGTAGTCGTAAAGGTGATAAAGGGAACCTATTAAATCTGTATCAAGTTCTAACGACCTTCCCAAAGACCGACGCAGAACTAATTGACGGTCGAACGAACTTGGGACGATCCGAAATTCCAGAAGAGTCTCAGTAAGTGGTGGCGAGCATTTCCAGCAAAAGGTGAAGGCCGGAGCCAGTTCGCATTCTATACGCAGCCCAGCGAGGTCTAGATTAATTCCTCCTCTCTAGTATCGGACGCTGGGGCTCCCGTGCTGGGAATGGTGTGAACTTTGCAAATCCTCCGGTTCTGAAGACCGCGGACGGACTATATCTGACTGTAATGAGGCGGACTATCTGCCTATCTGGCCTTGCTTCAACCGCAGAGGTACTGACACCCCGGGGTCAGCAAGGCTACAGCTTATCTCTACGAGCTGAGAACCTGATTCTGCAATAGTATTATCCCCTGACTGGTTCGGCCATGGAAAAGGGAATTTTCTTTCCAGGTTTTCTCATGATTAAATGGCATTGTTCGATGTCAACTGTGTCTTCATTGGTATTTTCCTGTCTTCTACTACTGACTATGAACCGATTCCCGGATCCCTTAAAGTCGTACATCTTCACCTATGTCCAAAACCGCTCTGTCCAACGATGAAATCATTATGACTCTCTCATAATTCTTTTTACACGATTTACTAAAAAATGCAATTTTCTGATTCAGTCAAAAAGAAGTTATGTGAAGGATGGGGATATACTTGAACATGAATCACTGATATCAGTTTCTTGACTCAATTAAAAAAAAATCCGAAAATCACTGTACGAAAATTACATGCTCCAAAACATGGGATTTCGCTCTATATAAGCTTTATCATTTAAAAAAAAAAAAAAAAACCATAAGGAATTTTATACTAAAAAAAAGTTATAGAGCGAAAAGTTAAGCAAATGCTGTATTTTATTTTGAGTTGGTTTCTTTTTGAAGGTTTTTTTTTTTTTCATTCTTTCCTAATTATAATTGTCTTTTTGGAAGCATACGAATCATAAAACTGATCTTCCAATCCAAAAAATATTTCTTTTAAATAAATCTATAGATAAATCGACTTTAATTACTGATAAGTGGACTAAACAATTTTTTTTTATATGTAACAAAAAAAGAGAACACAAAGTTTGTTCTTTGTAAATGGACTGTATATCTATTTCTATCTCTGCTTTGACTTTTCGTTAATATATTTAATGGCATATCTATTTCATTTTGGTTTCCCCATATATATTTTTTCTTCGACCTCGTCTCAATTATTTCTCAAAGTTGAATCCCAAAAAATATAATATTATTATCACATAATGTCCTCCCGCCCCTCCCACCTCCCCCCCTCCCAAAATAGATGATATTCGATAGATGATATGAAGTAGGCGAATTACCCTGCTAGAACGTATCCTCAACAAATAGGTTACTTGACTCTTGATTGAGTCACCAGGAGAGAAACCCAGGTGGTTGAGTCTGGGTGATGACCATTTCACTTTATAGTATAAACTTTGTTCAGAAAACAGTACGTCCAAGCCAAGCACTGAACTGCACTATTAAATGTTTGATTATAAACTGTATTATTTTTATATTATTGGATTACATGCTATTAGATGTATCCTATTTAACATGTTTACTGTTTCTTTGTATTAAATGGTTTGATTTCTTAGATAACGACTGAGGATAATTTAATCAGGTTGATTTTCCTTTTAGATTAATTAAAGTTGTTTTTGTTTACTTAGTAATTATTCGATAATTAGTAGGAAAGTCTAATCAAGCAACGATACAGGTTCACGATCCGAGGTTATCTCATTTAATTTTATGTCATCACGAACGTTGAGTAATATTTTTTTTTTTATTATTTTTTGCGCCATCTTGCAGACTGATTTATTGCCCGTTTCTTTCCATCTTGAGGTAGCTATCGCGGGATCACGTGAGAATTTTGATTGTCTCCTCCGTGTTCACTTGTCACGAACTGCCGTGTCCTCAGCCTCTTAGCAGCTTCTACCTCTTTGGAATTAACAACGTACGTCGTTCGGGACGGAGTCCATCAACGATAAAACCCGGTAGCCGGAGATGCTCTCGTAATGGACGTTACAGTAGTCGGAACGCCTTAGTAGATAAGGAGTTTCTACTGGAATTATTTTTTATCTTTTCTCCTTCTTAATTTTTCGTTGCGGCATTCCTTCGTCCATGTTACAGGCTTCCTCATTTCTTGCACTAGTGTCAGCTAATAGAATAATATACTCAATTAAAAACCCTTTACTGGTACAAAAAGAAGAGTCATGTGTTGTAGTCTCAGTGTTTGGCTTGGACGTACTGTTTTCTGAACAAAGTTTATGCTAGAAAGAGATATGTTCAGCACACAGACTCAATTACCTGGTTTTCTCCCAAAACAATGAAGAGTCATGTAACCTATTTGTTGAGGATACGTTCTAGCAGAATAATTCGTCTACTTATGGCTTGATTTGTTAAATCGATACTACATTGAATTGTTTTATAACCCGTGAATTTCATCTATTTTTTTGGGGGGGGGAGGAAGGGCTATAGGACGTTATGTGATAATAATATTACATTTTTGGGATTCAACTTTGAGAAATAAATTAAGACGAGGTCGAAGAAAAAAATATATATGGGAAAACCAAATTGAAACAGTTATGTCATTAAATATATCAACGAAAAGTCGAAGCAGAGATAGAAATAGATATACAGCCCATTTACAAAAAAAACAAAAACAACATAGCAGATTATCGATTAAAACTATTTTTTATTTAATGAAATTATCGTCTCAGATGCTTACGAAAGCGTATAATGTTTTTTTTATTCGTTTGTTATTGAGGCCTAAAACATTACTTACCCTACATCAACCGCCGCATTGTGTATTCCCCAATAGAAGAGCGGATGAAGAGAAGTAGTATTCTAAAAATACGGTTACCTATTTCACAAACCATGGGAAACAAGAGTGTGTAAATAGAGTCTTTCTATAGGTTGGTAGTTCTGCTTTAAGTTTGTGACCGTTCATCTACTGTCGGTTTTTCAAGATAAATCAAAGAAAATTTGTGTTAGCGCTAGAAACGCTTTTATATATTTCTTTATTGTTTGTCTTGAATGTTGAATTTAATTGCTGCTGGTACCATTTAAATTAATTTTCTGCATTTTCCTTTATTTTCTTTTGCATCATTTTGTTTCTCTTTAAAAATTACAATACGTTAGGAAAAATTCGACTCCTTATGTTCATGGACGTTGTTTCCCTGGAAATACAGAAACATGTAAATACAATGTTTTTTGTCTGCTTGTTTATCTGGTCTTTTTGAAATGTGTTAACCCGACTTATGATGTATGAAGAAAAAAATTCAATTAGAGCCTATTAATGTTTGATTTTTATATTTGTCTCAATATTTCATAGAAATTCTTCAGGATTCCTACGCTGCTGCTTAGTCCAGTTTCCACTAACCCTCCTCTGATCCTGCAAACCGTCCTTTCGCAGGCCAAATATTCTGCCAGAATTTAATGAATGTATTAATTCTAATTAAATAGTGGATTCTGCCTCATTAAATCATTAAAATCTCATACTTATAAAAACACATAAAATTTTTAGAAATTTCTTTTATATTCCTTATGATAACAATTTTGCCGAAGAATAAAACATCAGTAAAGGAAGACCGTAATATATTATAATAGAATAATAAAACCGTAGAATCGAAGCGTTCTCATTGTAATGATGGAGGTTCTTGATAGATGAGGAGTTTCTACTGGAAGTCCTTTTCATTTGTTTTTAAATATTTGATGTGGTGTAGCTTCGTCCATCTTGTATGCTTCCTTATTTCTCACACACTTGTTAATTACTAGAAAAACACTGAAAATTATTTCCCAATGATTTATTATTTCCAGACAATTATACATAAAAAGTGATTCCAATTATTGGCCTAAACATTTTTTTTTCATCATTAGTAATTTGCTAAAAAAAAATAAATAAAATAGCATTACTTCAACTAAACTTTCAAAAATCAAAAACCAAAACAAAAGCCTTTGCAGTAGAATAAAAAAAAATATCTAGAGACCATATCTTTGCTCCAAATTATCCGATTTTAAAACATTTTTTAAGGAAATTTCATCGACGTTTAAATAACCATATACAATATCAACAAAAAAACTGAATTTTTTTTGAGTTATTCGGAAATCTAATTTTATCACCCTTCATATAACTTTTTTTCCAGTTTCTTTTCGATGAAGTATGTTATATAGATAAATTTAACGGGCATCGAGAAGAATACTTTAACCGAGTTTTTCGTCCGTCATCTTGAAAGGAATAGACGGATAGTAACGTCGATGTAGGAGGATCATCTTCAGGTGACCTCTGACTTTAAATCCAAATTTTAAAAAAATTAGTCCTTTAGTCTCGGAGAAAATGCGCGGACAGCAGATGGACAAAAAAATTTTATTCGTTTTTCGAATTATACCTATCCTGAAACGTAAAATTTTGAGGGGAGGGGGTTAAATTTTTAAATCTTCTGGTCGATTACAATGGTCCATTATTAAAAATAGTAAAACAAAAAATGCACAATAATATTTTAAAACGCACTATAGTTACAACCAAGAAGTGTCATATGTCATGAGTTGGTTTGGAATTACTGTTTTTTTTTTGTTTTTTTTTGACAAATTCTTCAAGCAGAATGTCATACTTCTGATTCTTATTGTGATTATTTACTTTTAAGTTGTTACGTTTATGTCCTTGGTTTTGCGTTCCTGAATTCTGAAACGCTTTCAGACAATATTCATACAAGCTTTAGTAATTCTATCTACACTCCAATTATTGATAATCCAATCATCGTTTGCTTACGACATGGAAGATATCCGATAGCTCTCCCCTGGTTGGTGGAAGTAGCTGAAGACTCCAGAGGGCGTTGGCTGGAGGTTCCAGGAACCGCAGACAAAGGCCGTGATATTAGAGTAACAGGACTTGGCCATTGTGCTCCTGTTCCTCGGGGCATCTCCACCTCGCCTGTTAGCCACCGCGTCCTCTCAGCGGTTTAATAAAATATCTTTCATATATTCTTCTTTAAAAATCTTTAGTACCGTCAAAATGGGCGAACTAACAAAAGCTCAAATCTGTCAAACACTTTTTTAAATTAATTATTATTTACTTATCTTTCAAGGCATCTCTTGGCCAGAAAGTGACAACATCATATAAATGCGGAGCAAAGACAGTCTCTTATCGATAGTTCTCTTATAGATAGTCTAAAAAATAACATCTGAACAGACGATCACCATCTAAATGGGTTACTTTGGATCCGTTTTGGGACTTCTTGTGATAATCTATGTTTTTTAATCAATTTTAGGAGTCAAAAAAGTCTCGATTTCATACCTCAGCTTCCTGGGAGCATGAATAAAAAAAAGAAAAGTCTCTCATTTTCTCTGTTAAATAATTAAATGTTTTCTTATTATTTTGTTTTAAAGTGGAACCAAGCTGGCAACCAAGGACAGGTTGAAAGAATTTGTACCACATTCTTAAAAATAGTTATAAGAATAAAAAAAACCAGTGTAATTTAAAATTATCTTCATCAATAAGAAGAAACAATAAAAAGTATTTTAAAAAACTGGTCCGCTACAAACAATGAAGGGTCTTGGATTCAGTACAATTTCGGAAAAGTACTGTTTCAAGGTTGTGCAGGGAGGAGATCGGGTCAAGATCTCGCTCAACCGCCAAGTTTCCTTCCTTAATTAATTATTTTAATTATGAGTACCCATTTTTAGAGGCTGTGTGTGACCCAAGAGGGTCTTTCTACCCCAGGATCGCTCCACGTCCGATGAAAAAGAATAAATAAATTTTCTGCCATGAGTCGGGATTCGAACCTGGAACATCGAGCATTGGAAGTTCAGTGCCCTACCACTGAACTACCCCACTCACTAATACTAAAAATATGTGTGTTTTAAAAACAATCTTTGTTTGAATATCCTGTGAGAAAGGTTTTTTTTTTTTTTTTTTTTGTTTTCTTTTCCTCTAGATTATAAGGACTTATCATTAAAATAAAAGTTGAAAAAAATGTATAAAAAATAATTTTTAATTCAATATAAATCCATTTTTTTAATTAACAAATCAGGACAATTCGTACTACTCATCTTTGACACCAGGATACATATCTTGGAGTTACAAAATTAACCAAAAATATTACAAAGAAAGGGATTAATAACTAAATATGATATTTGATTCTTAATTACAGATAAAATTTGAACAACTTAGGGATCATAGTCACATTTATAATATTTGTTGAAGCAATTCAGTTATAAAAGTTATGGATGCGTTTTCTAATGGATTATAAAAAGAGGAGAAATAAAAATAGCAGACATCTAATATTTATTCTTCACTGAATCTATTTATTAGTGCTTTATTCCATATGTGATCTTCGATGGTAAAACGCCAAAACGATACCAAAACATTTCTAATTATTTGCAAAGATTGAATTTAGAACTTCAACCCATCAGGGACCGAATTTTTAAAGAAAAATGAAATTGTTACTTGAAATTCTTTTTGAAGCATTCTCATTTTTATGTATTTTTTTTTTTAATTCTGAATGAACTGTTGGAAAAAATTCTATTCGCTTGGTTCCCATGACAATATCCCATAGAATAACCTTTTAACTACTTTTTTATTTTCTTATTAATAAGTAATGTAGTTAAAATTGTTTCATCAATATGGTGAAGTTTTACGGTAATTATTTTAATTTCTGATTCGATGAAATTCCAAACTGAATTTCACCATCTAATTACGCTGCATGTAAAATTATGACCATAATTGTCGTTGACAGATGTGACTATTTTGTAGACAATAGTATGTAGGGACTGCTAGGTGAAGGGTGAGAAACCCATTTTTGATAAGATGATATGTTCTAGATGAGGCTGTAATGGGAAAACTGAGAAAATGGAGAGAAGACACAGCACTACCTCAGAATCCAGCAACGACTCCAGGCAGGTCAGTATTTATATAACATTATAACCTATTCCATTATTGATAACATTGAAATAGTTATTTATTTTGGGGACAGTTTCCTCTTTCTACTACATACTAAGCCTGTTGGGAACGATATAGCAAGCGATATAAACGGATTCCAGCCTTAACTAACTTACAAAGCTCCCGAGAAGTGATTTCTGATTGGAGCGATTACTTTTTAATAAAAGAACACTTGGTGTTGATGAAACTATGTTTACATACATAAGAGCTCTTAATATATCTTAGAATATTGAGAAAAAAAATATATTTTTCGATTGCAACAAAAACTTTCATCTAAGAGTTTTTGGCGGTGTGAAAAACGAATATCACCTTTATTTATCCCAAAAAATATATTTCATAAAATAAAACACCAGGTTTTGGGCATGTAATCTTACTTTTGATACCCATCCGGTATAGAAAATATTTATATAATATATATATATATATATATATATATATATATATATATATTTGCCATACAGCTGAAGTATAAGTACAATATTAGTTCTGACCTATGAAGTAAAGTAGGTTCAGTTTTTTTTTAAAGAGAAACAAAGTTGAAATTTATGTTTCGCCTATCGAAAAATCGTCGAATTAGAATTTTCATAGCAATCAAAAAGTAAGATTTTTTTCCTCAAAATTATCACTTAACTGGCAATTCGAAAATCGCAAAAATTGTGATAACTTCGACGTGGCTCCACTTATCGACACGAAAATAAGCATGGATTTATGGTTCTATAATATATACGAAATAGTACAAACCAGACGCCCGTAAATTATTCTTGGAGAAAAGAAATAAAACTTTTGAGTTTTCCTTTATTTATTCCTTATAAAGTCGTAAAATCTAAAACTTATTAATATGGTTTTGAAGAGAAATAATTTAGCTTCTAGCGGTTGTAGCAACGTTGACTTAGCAGAAAATCCTGAGGAGTTATGAATATTTTTGTGAACGGTATGAAAAAAAAATCCTCTCATAAAATTAAGTCAAAAATTTTATATTTTTGTTTCAAAACAAACATGTATTTAAGTGTTTTAGTGAACGCTGATGAAAAATCTGATTCATTTCTTCATGACAAAAATTTACTTGGCGTACCTTACTAAAAGCGTTTTTGGGTTTTTGTAATTTATTATACACTAGAATTAGTTTATTAATGCAATTATCGATATGTTTTTCTTCTTTTAAATAAATAACTAAACCAATTGAAATATAATAACTTAGAAATCCAAGTAGAACAAAGTCAGAAAACTAATATAAAAAAATAATAAAGTTTTATGAAGTATTTTTTTTCTCGGCTCCTAGGGCGCATTGATAATAATCCTCGTACATAGGTCTAAAATGTTTTGACCTAGTATCATCAATAAATGTTTAATTGAAATCGTGAACCCACGCCTGTAACCTCCCCATGTAAACGGATGTATCAAGACGAGACAAATTGTTTTTTACACATTTCGACACAGACATCAAATCCGTCCGTTTTAAGGCCTTTAAATGTACCATTTTTTTGTTTTGTTTTTAAAATAAATCATTATTATAACCAAAAGATATGTAGTTGTCCAGTTCCCATGTGATACTTATCACGTATTGTTCAAGTTTTAAAAAATTGTTATTTATTTTAGTCTATACAAAAATAAAAATCTACTGAAAAATAAAAATTAGGTCTAAGGTTCCTCTTATCTAAGTGCTCCTCCGATAATAAAATGTTATTTTTAAGATTTATATGTATATGTATTAGTCCGTGGAACAAGTCTCTTTTTATCAAATTATTAACATTCGGCTGAAACTTTGGAAATAGCTCCATCTCGTCGTAATCTACAAATATTTTACTAACGAAAAATCTTGGAATTGGGACGTTTTCAATCTGGAGCTCTGCAAGCTTTGTATATTTAATCAGACACTAAAAACTCGTAAATACCCATTTGCTTTCCACTTTAATCATAAAATAACTTGAGCACAAAGTCGCGGAAAAAGTTGGCCTTCGAAAATATTGAGCCGTTTGGCCTATATAACCTCGTTATTTTGATAATTTGGGGGCGTAGGTCACCCCAAACGGCTAAATATCTTTGAATTCCGGTTTTTTTCTCGACTTTATGCTAAAGTTATCTTCCGATTAAAGTGAAAAGCAAGTGGTATTTACGAATTTTTAGCACCTAATTAAATAGACTAAGTTTGTGAAGCTCCAGATTGAAAACTCCCCAATTCCGGTAATTTTCGTAAATAATAATAGTAAATAATAATAATAATATCTATAGTAAGATGAAGCTATTTGCAATGTTTCAGCCGGATATTAATAATTTCCTAAAAAAGGGTCCCTAACCTCCATATAAATAATTTAATCGAAATCCTCCTGAAATATATTTTATCTATTTATTATTTTTTTTTAATTTTACTTCTGATCTTAAATTACATTTTCATAACAATGTAGTATGTTATTCATGTCTTTTTAACTGTTTTCCCTTATCTTATACAAACGAAGTTTAAAGTTAAAATGAGAATGTATAGGATTTTGTTTTGAATTGATAACATTGCTATTATATATATAAAGTTATTAAAATTGTTTATTACTTATTGTTTAAGTTAAAATTTTATATAGGGATTAAAAAATCATTTTTATTATTTTTGTTCAGAGAAAATGGAGTGGATATTATCCTTGTTACATCAGATGTGTAAGTATATTCGGAGAGTGTTGAGCGAGTTTTTTTTTTTTTTCGCTTTTATTAATACTTTTTTGCTTTTATTTAATACATTATCAAGCGAAAACAATTATCTTTGCAGCTTTAATCGTTTTGAGTACATTTTTTAATTAATATTTTTTAAAAAAATATATGATTTTAGTCTTTAATTTTACATTATTTAGTTGAATATTGCTCATATATATATGATTTCATAGTGATTAATACTATCTTTAATTCCATCCGTAATATTGATAATTTAACAATAAGCATGTTAATTGTCAATATCAGCGTTATTTAAAAATAACAAAAATGCATACAATTTTTAATTTTAAAACTATAACAATATTTGTAATTGAATATTGTTAGTTGCATTTGACGCTTAGTACTATAATTAATTAAATAGGTTTTTTTATGAATAGTTACTAAAATTTAAGTTTAGGCCACTATGTCCTATTATGCCATATTCAGGACAAAATTTTATGATTGTTGTTTGGCATGGAACCTTTAATCTTACCTCTCATTCTTCAAAAGATTGACTAAAAGATTTTTTAGGGGAAGCCATAGTTCCTGCGCTATTCAAAGAACAAAAGAGTGTTAAAGTTAATAAATTACTTATCTTAACCTTTTACTATTCTTTTATTACTGATAGACATGCTAATAAATGTCTGATGAAACTTAATTAGAATGTAAATTTTTGTATCGTTTGTTGTTTTTCCAGATTTAAACCATTTTTAATAATTTTTCAAAATTGTTCACCGATTTTATCATTAAAAAAAAATTCGTTAGTATTATTTTTTTTAATGTTTTATTATTAAAGTGAAATTTTTTTTATTTAGTAAGTTTTAACATTTTTGTTTTACTAAGGTTATAATTATCTACCATTATAACTTATACAAATTTTATAATTTATAATTAATATTTTATATTTTTATGCAGTCATCCATTGATGGTCTGGAGTCAGGGCGCATGGCTAAAGCGACTACCCCTAAAGTTGCTGCCAATCCCCTGCAGTTTGTGAAAGTGGGACCTTGTGACCTCTACCGCTCAGCCCAAGAGCAGCTCAAGAAGGTCGAAGAGATCAAAAAAGCCAAGAAGGAGCGCAGGGATGAGGCTGAAGACTGGCAATCGGTAATTTTTTTTTTTGTTGTAATTTTATTTATAAAAACAATGGAAAAATGCATAGTTTATACATTGAATAGGATTATGTCATTATTAAGATACATGATACATATTTACCTATTCCATTGCATATTCTTTTGTATTTATACAAACATATGTCCACATAATTTTATATTATCTTTGTTTTACCCTAGAACCTTGACAACTGGAAATGCAGCCGCAGAAAAAGGCAAGAACATATCATCGAAAGGGTTGTAGAAGTTAAGAAATTGGAGTTGGAAGAACACGAACGTAATCGAAGGCGAAGCAAAACTTTTAACGAAATGATGCAAGAGAGGTGTGAATTTTATAGTATTCAACTTGTTTTTCGATTTTAAAATCTTAAATTAATCATAATTATATAAATATTTTAGTGCACAAATTTATAACTGCTTCCTTACAAGTTAAACATTTTATTTATTTTCTTTTTTTCTTATTTTATTTATCTATATATTTTTTAAAGGAATACCCGTGGTAGGAAATCAAGCCTCCCTGTTTGGAATGATGATTCAGACGACCTTTCTGACTTAGGAATAGGAAATAAAAATGACTCTTCTTTAGAGTTAGACAGAAATGACGAGGTATCTTCAGCTTTTTTTTTTTTTATTTAATTCATTCATTTCATTATATTTTAAAGCATTTGACTGTGAGCTCATGATTTATTTTAACTGTTCTTTGTTTTATTTTTATTATTGATGTTAATTTTCTTAAAATTTTAATTGATAGATTCATTTGCTAATATATTACCCCTTCTGTGAAATCTTATTAAAAATTTTCATAAATGTCTTAAATGTCATGTATATCTTTTGAATCAAATTCAGCTAAATCCATATTATCTGTTAAATTGTAAAAAACAATAATTTAGAAATATTTATTCTCTGTTAAGAAATTCATTTTTATTGAATAGTTTATCATAAATAATTTATTTATTCCCTTTAAAATTACCATTAATAAAATTTATATTTATTTTTACATGTTAATGTCTCCATCAGTTATATCAACCCTATAATTAAATAATTAGTTAGGTTAATGTAACAATTTATCTTTTTTATATATATATATATATATATAATATATATATATATATATATATATATATATATATATTGCAGTTTTGGGTTTATATACAGTTTATATATTTTTAGTTTTGGGTAATGTTTTTCCCATAGAACATTGATTTCAATTTCAATTATTTCACCATTATTTTATTTTAGTGTGAAATAAAATATTAGTTGTAATATTGTCCTTAATTTATATTGTCAGAAGCTATTCTATTCTGTTTCTTGAATAACAACTATAAAATTACATATTTTATTTATTTCAGGTTAATGGACACTCGGAGAATTCACATGATTCATCACTGTCATCAGAACTGAACAGAAATTTAGATAATATGCCATTAGAAAATGGAAATAACTCCGACTCAAAAGAAGATTCAAAATCTACCGAAAGTGAGGAGTACACGTACGATAAAGCTATTCAAAGTTATGTAACCTTTGCTGAAACAAGAGTCAAATCAAAGTCTTTGCGATCGATCGATGGTGACATGAGAGATTATTCGAAAAAAGAAAGTCCACCAATACCTGCCAAACCAAAAAGAGGCTCGCTCACAAAAATAGATACCTACATCAGTCAAATAGAATTAAACAAAACAAAAGGTAACGGAGATGCTACTGACTCTGCTAAAAAGCCTGTAGCAGTTCCTAAAGTAGATGTTCATAAAAGAAGAGAATTATTCGAAAAAATAAAGGAAACTGAAGAACATAATAAAATGAACAAAACATCCTCAGAACTTTCAGCAGCGAAAAGTATTAAAGAAAGATTGTCTTCACTCGAAAAACATCAAGAAAGTATCGATTCTTCTCGAACAAACATAGCTAGTTCAATCAACACAACAACGGGTGTGAAAGATCGGCTCTCTAATATTGAAAAAATCTCTAACTCAAATTTTGTGCCACGACGCTCAAGTGAACCTCTCTCTTCTCAGTCTATTAAAGATAGACTTTCCAGCTTTCAAAAATCGAAATCTAACTCTCCAAAACCTCATAATGTCGTCGAACCAACTGTTTCCATTAAGGAAAGGTTGAATAGCTTGCATTCTTCCTGTGAGAAAGAACCGACTCGAACAGTCATCCCAAGCGTAGATCCGACATTTGATGAGAAGTTGTCCAACTTTAAGGAATCATCTACTAATGGCTCTTACGAAAACAGATCTTTGAGCCCCGATGAAATATATAACAAGAGAGAGCAACACTTTAGGCATAGATCTCTTGATAGTTTAGATATAAACCAAGAAAATATGTCCAACAGCAGTTTTGAACGTGTCCAGAGCCTCGAAGACTTAGATTATAGAAATTATCCAGCTTCTACATTTAGTGGTGACACCGACCGTGAAGATTCAGGTATTCATACTGCTGATGTATCGAGTTCTGTCAGCCAAGCTGATGATTACGATTTACATTTGGACAGTAATATCTTGGATGATATAAAAATGAATCATCAACCCCCCATTGAAGAAGAAACAAAACTAATCAAGAATGAAGATCTTTTAAAGAATGTAAGTGATGAGGACATTTCTCAAGTTAAATCTTTGACACCTGATTGTGAGGTGTTGACTCCTTGTGAGGAGGCCCTTCCAGAGCCTGTTGCAACTTCCTCTCCTCTTGCCATAGAGGATCCTTTTGTAAATAGTTCTCATTCCCCTACAAATTCTTGGTCTAGTCATTATGAAGAAGGAATACAGTTAAAAGAGGAAACTATCGGAGAACCTCATGCTTCCAAATTGGTCAAAAATGATTCCAATAACCAAAATCTTAACCAAGTTGCACCTTATGTGGAAAGTAATAAGGGTGATGCCATTTTAACCGACATTAACGAAATAGAATTTACAGATAACACATTCCCTAAAGAATCTCTCTCCTCAAATGAATATGTTTCTCTTCATGCTTCACTTTCTAAACCTAATGAGGTGAGGCTTTGGATAACTATTAGCTTCTACTATATATAACATGATTTCTTTTTATTTAACTTTTCACTACTTCTTCCTTATTTAACAACCATACTATATTATAGCAGTATTAATAATAGTATAATATTATTAATAATTCTAATATAATACCATAATAATATATCGCCAGCCATACTGCAAAAGCCTATCAGAACAAAAACTAAAAAATTTCAGGCAACAAAAAAAATTCGTAATTTTTGTTCTATGAGCATTATATTTTCGGTTCAATTATTTTTGCAGGCCTAAGACAGAGATGTAATGGTCTATGTAACTTTTTTAATCATATCTGTGCCAAATAATCTTTTAGAGGCACATAACTTCTAACTTATAGCTTTTTAGTTACATTGAAAAACAGGTATTAATTAGGTAATGCAATCAAGTTTACTTTAGTAACACTCATAACTTTGTTGATAATGATCAAAGCATGACAGGAACACAGTCAGTTTCCAAAATGTAGAGAAACAATACTTCAAATGAAAATTTGTAAAATATTTGATCAAACGGGTTATTCAGTTTTTTGTCTCCCACTGTAGAGGCAGCTCGGACGGAATGCATGCACCCCATTCTGTAGTAGTCTATGAAAGTACCGTTTTTAATGTTCTCAACTCTTTATGTACATGGTTTGATGTACAAATGTTAGGTAAGTTCTAGGTAACCTGATGTGTAGATCACTTAATTTCTGAACTTCTTGCAATTTCAAAGATTCATGAGTTCGTTTTTTGTCTTGTGTTAAATTTTCCAATTAATGAAATCAATTCTCTGTCTCTCACTATTTAGAATCGATGGCATTGTAGCTTTTTTCTAGTCAAGCTCATTTTGCAGTGTCCAGGAGTTTTCAATTGTTTTGAAGGCTGTTTAATATTATTTTCCCGCTTACCGCTCTCTTCTTAGTTTTGCCTAGTTCTATGGTAAGCAAAGCAGGAGAACCCTGGCATTTGCCCAGAGGTGCCGTCCTGGAATTGCCTGTCACTTATTAGAAATTTAAAAAAGAATGCAAAGCGTATGAGAAAAATTAATTTTAAACTATTATTAAAGCTATTTCATATTTTATTCTATTTGCAAAACGCTTTATACGTTCTGTATTTAAATGTCCACTTTTCATTGAGCGTTTCATTACGTTTTTTCGGTAACAATGTGTTACCGTAATATAATCTTCACTCTCACTTACAGTTTTTTATATCACAATTTGCTGGTTTTTAAATCACAGGTTTTTACAAAAGACCATAGAGAAGAAATGAAACATCTTAGTTTTCATTTTGTGGGATCAGAATATGTGCCTAGACATGATTGGCCAGAAAAGCTCAAAACATCATTTTCCATAGAAATTATCCTCACAGGCTTTTGCAGTGTGGCTGTCTATATGATTTCATTTATTTATTATTGTAGTTAGCCTCTTGAAGAAATTTTGCTTTGCTATGCTTAGTTTTCTCCTTAGATTGCTTAAAGCTTTCTATTACTGTGCTGATTGAGCGAGTCTTAAGAAGAAAGAGCTCTAAGTAAATATCTCATTTCCCTAACTATATGATTCACTTACAGTATCCTTGTCTTTAGCATTTACATTATTTCTTTCATTTCAATAATAATTAAAAATACTGGGATTTAATAGAATATTTATAAATATTAAAATATGCATAATTATTTAAAATATGCTTAATTGGAAAATCCAATCCTTGGAAAAAGATTATTTAGATTTCAAGCTCATCTTCTTCACTATGCCTCCTCAATCCTAAATATTAATTTTGTCTTAACTTACAATTTATTAATTTTTTAAATTAAAATGATTGATAGAAATGACATTTAAAATCAAAACTGGACATTCCTATTTCTTATTTATGCTATCATCCCAATTCTGATTTTTTACAAACTTATTTAATGAATTACATAAAAATTTTCTCAAGTAATATATCAATGTAATGGTAAATTTACAATTAATTACTAATTGTGGGTAAATGGTTGACTTTCATGAATAATGAAGAGAAGAATGGTTGGGGTGACCAGTCAGAAATAAGCAGACAAAAATAAATTATAATATTATCATCAAAATAAATATTATCATTTATTTTTGCTTTCTTATTTCTGACTGATCATCCCAAAAATTCTTCTCTTCGCTTTACAATTAATTACTTTTTCAAAGTTTTTGTTTTATGTAGATCTTCCAGGAAGATACTTTGGCCAAAACAGTTTTTAGTCTCTGTTATTTTCCTATACCTTCATTTACTGCTCTCTGTTATCTAAGGGTTGTTCTCTTCACAACTTAAATACAGTTTGATTTGCAGATTTTAAAAGTTAAAAATTTGATCCAGAATATGGGTGTCTAGTTTCTATTTATCTTGCAGTATAAATTAATCCTTGAAAAAAGTCACTTCTCTATCTAAAGGTTTCAGTGAATCTTTTCTTATAAAATATTTGATGTTTTGAGTAGCCATCGTATTATTAAGATCTAAATAATATTGAAGTCCATTTTAAACCAAATCAAATACTGGTCAATTTTTTTGGCTTGAATTGTTGAAACATATTATTTCCACAAACATATTAATAAAAAAAGCTACAAATAATTCGTTTTGTAGTCATTATCATTCTTTTATATTTCTTTGACTTCAATTTTCTTTCTGGTTTTTATGACATTTTTAATTAGAGATTAATTAAATTGATTAATTTTAAACAAAATTCATAAAGATTATTTTAATAAAAGGAATTTTATTTTTTATAGTAGTATATAAATAAATATTAATATTTCTAGTTAAGTCTTAAAATTGTTTTATTAATTCAGGAAACTTGTGATATAAGTGAGAAGGAGAGAAACAGTGAATTCAAGATAAATAGTTCTATCGACAGTTCGGAAAATTTAGAAACTACTACTGACATAATCGCTGTTGCTAACACGATTCAACCATTTGAAAGAAACGACCAAGAAATTAATGTTTTCAAAATAGATGAACCTCAGACAAATGGCTTATATGATAGCGTGCAGAATACTAATGTTTCAATTGTTAATCAGGTGATTTGTCTTTATGTGTTAAACTATTCTAGGATATAGTTTTTTTTTTTATAGAACTATTTTATTTTTAAAAATTATGTAATTTATTAACTTTAATGTTATTATTCATGCTAATTTCTATTATTTTATAGCACTTTGTTAATTCATTTAAGTTCTGAATTTTAATAATTTATATATTATTTTAGCTTAGCGAAATAATTTTGGAATCTAACCCCAGCTGCCTGTTTCCACTTTTACCAAGTACGTTAGTACCTCCTAAAGAAAAACCACCCCCACCACCCACTGAAGTTAGTGATGATGAAAGTGATACTAAAGTTATAAAATCTGTGAGTATGAATGTGTTGATAGTTTAATGATGATTAAACTCATAAAAATATTTTATGTCCTAATTCATATGTATATTGTTTTGTTTTTCTCCCCCAAGAAATCACTCAGGCGATTGGACTCAACAAAAAGAATAAAAAAAGAAATTCGCCAGAAACGGTCATCATTTTTGGGCCTTGAAGGAAATGATGATGATAGTTACTTTGAACCAGGTAATTAAATTTTGATGTAAATCAAAATTACAAATCTTGCTGATGATAAATAATTACGGAATTGATGTAACATTGATTTCAGAGTTAGAATTGATCAGGCCACCTGACATGACTACATTGTTAGCTGAAGAAAGGAGGATTGAAAGGCAACTCTACCGCCAGTCTGTCTGCTCAGAAAGTGATTCAAATCAGGAAAGTCGTGATTCTGGAGTTGAGTTGGACCACAAGCATCCAGAACTAACGTGGAGTCATAGCCGCAATGACAGTGAAATCAGTGCTGATGTTCAGGTACTTCTTTTTTATGTATTAAATAATTATAGTAACCATTTTTTAACTATATTAATTATAAATTACTGGGTCTGAAATTGCATTTCTAACTCCTATACTCTGGTTTGAATCTGGCTGTAGCCAAAAATGTATTTTCAATCTCTGTAATGAAGTTCTGTAGAAAGAACCTCCTTGGGCCACAACCATCCTGTATTAATTAATATTTCCTCGGATCTGTTTATGAACAACAGTTTTTCCAATGATTATCTCATTATTTATTCTGTTTTATCAAATATTAATAATTGTTTATGGCATTTATTTGTTTCAATTTTGTTAATTTTAATTTTTAGACATTTGGAAATCAAAGCACCACTTCTGAAGAGGATGAAATAATGAAGAAAGAACGTGAAATTATTGAAACCCTGGAACAAGAAGAGAAAATTCGTAAACAAGATCTAGGTAATTTATTACAACATCTCTCTAATTTATCTTCAACAAATTAGTTTTTTTTTTAATGGAAATTTAATTATATTTATGTGCAATGCAATTCTATTGTTTAATATGTAACTTTGTTATATTTTTTTTACTTTAAAAGTTTAGTAAGGAGTGAGTCATATCTTCCTGAACCTTTTCAAACTTCGATGAATTAAATTTTCCTAAATAGAAAATTAGTTGTTAAGTTGGAAACTGCTGTTTTAAAAATGCTTTGTGGCAACTGGAGCACTTTGATGATAACACTGTCACACATACACTCATCTTTTCCTGTAGTCCATTATATTGGAAATAACATGTAGTTCTATCTTACCTGTGATTTAACTAGTTTATTTATGTTTTATTTCTTTTGTAGGTGAAAAGTTGGCTATGAGGTTACGCGAGCTTGAAGCTGAAAAAGAAAGGATAGAATGGGAACATCTTCAGTCGGAACCAATAAGGAATGCTCAACCTCATATTTTTCCAAAACACACCCATCTTTCTGTAGAGGTATGTATCGTTTCTTCATATCTAAGTTACAATTTTAAAAAAATCTGGTGTGTCCACTCACACAACTTTCTTAACTATTTCAGAAAAGTTTTTATATCTTTACATATGTCCATCAAGAAACAAAAAAAAATTGAATTAGATTTATCTTTCTGAAAATTGATCAAAGAAAAGATTTGAGTACGATTTATTTGATAAACTAAAGTAATGTTAACCGGCTTAAGATAGATAACTGTAAAAATTTCAATATCTCTAATATTATTGATCAAAATCTTTTTGCCATAGCCAAATTTTGTCAAACAATAATTTTTGTTAAAAGTAGAGGTAATAATGAAGTGATGCAAGGCAACAGATTTTCTTACTTTCACTAAGTTATATTTTTTCTCTTATTCACCCCTTTCTGAATCCAGGATATGTACCCGTAATCTTACATTGGAAATTGAATAGCTGTAACTTTATTAAAAGTTGTCTGAAATGAATGATTTGTATATAGTTTTGTAAGTAATTTCACCACCTTTCAAAAAAACAATTAAACGGTGTTTTTTTGGACTCAGAGGGCTCTGAAACGTATGAAAGTAACAATATTTGTTAAAGAAAAATGTTGGCTTGGGCATCAGTTAATTAAATCCTTAAAATCTGACTGAATTTAATGTTATTGATTTTTTTCTAATGAAATAAGTCCTGACTAAATGTTCAAAACTAAATTTTAATTAACCTAATTCTAAGTTTGAAAATAAACTGAATATTTAATAAATCTTACTATTAATTAGCTTTCATAAAAACAGTTAAATCATACGTCTTGCTATATTTATTTTTAAAGAGATCAAGTTGTATATGTATTCCTCATGTGTAGGATACATGTATTTAATTGAAATAAAGGGGGGCCAAGCTAGTTGATTATAATTTAAACTACCTTGTATTATTTTTTTGTTGGATTTTATGTTGGTCATTGATTTTATAAGATCATTTCTTTACATGTTAATTGATTATAAATATACATGTTTAAAGGATTTGGAAAAAGCTCGAAGTCGAGAAGAGCTGAAAGATGCTGACTGGTGTACTCCTCGGTCATCCCTACAAGATATTTCCCATATGGAACCTCCTGAATTAGAATATCGAGACTACCGAAAATCAATGGGTGATCTCACAGTGCCAGTAAATTATCATCACCAGTCAAAGACTAGGTAATTTTTTTTTTACAAAAATAAATCTTTATTTACTTAATTTTCTAAGAAGAAATTTCAAATAATAATCAATTGTTATTTAATAAATGAAATTTTAGGTACGCTGCCCACAGAAGATCAATGCCAAACCTTCAAGAAAATGCCCCAAGGCGACCTCCCCCTCCACCTCCTCCTGTACTTCCAAGCAAACCCCTTCACCTGACTCAGTGTTTGCCACAAGTCGTTCCTCAGCAAGTCCCCGTCCAGCATGTCAGCAGTCAACGCTTGAGTTCCAATCAACAAGTCAATGGGCATCATGTCGTCAATCCAGCTGTTGGTGCTCACAATGGGTAAGCCATCATCTCACTCATTACAATTGATTTTACATTTAATATAGCATATTAGAACTCTATTTTATCAGATAATAATAAACCATTTTAATAATAAATTAGAAAAATATGTATATATATTTTTTATATAATAATAATCGCCACTCTAAATAAAATTCCTCTTATTTTTGCCATACCATAAATTAGCAACAGCTAATATAGATATCATCCATTTTGTATGAAAAGATGCATATGATAAAAAAAACTCACATAAGTTTCTGTAATTGTTTAGACAAATTCATTTTTCCTTATCCAGGGGAAGGTCAAACCAATACTCTTCACTAACCTTAAATAAATTAAATTATTGTTTTAAATTTTTTTAATAATCTGTGGTCATACTATTTATTTTTCAAATACATAAAAAATATTCAGTCTATTTATAATGTTTGACGATATTACATAGACAATGATTTCTATCAAAATGATCGTTTTCATTCTCCTTAAAAATAAAGGTTACTTAAATAAATAAATTATTCCAATAAAGTAAAAATAAAACCTAATTTTGTCCTTTTAATAATAATCTGTTCTTTCTTTACAAATCTGGTTCCCTTGCACCAAATATTAATTCCAAAAAGACACTACTTACAACAATATTTGACGAATTAGGTCTAAAGTATACAGTTACTTGAACCTATTTTTAATTAAATTAATAAAAGTATTCTTCACAAATTAAATTATAACTTCACATGAACTGAATTCTTATTTAAACTTTGTTATCACCTAACTCACTAGAAGCAAGAACTTGCAGTTTAAATATGTTTTGTTTAGATATGTATGCAGTTTAGATATGTAACACTGCAGGATAGATATGTTGAACGATCCCTGCCTTATAACAGACATGAACTCTGCTAAACTCTGAATACAGACTGACTAAAGCATGTACTATAGACTATTTAACATGATATGAACTTAAACAAGCCAAAGATGAATAACTCAAGTTATATCATAACCTTTATCTTTATATAGCTCTGAACAAAGTCCAGAATATTCCAGAACCAGTATAATCAAAACTAGAACTTCCTGTGAGTTTTAATTTTTGTAATTTATACACCAATAAAAATACTTCCTTATTATAAAGTACAATGTTTTAATAAAAATATAGATGATATTTAACAAATAATTATGTCAAAAATTATAATGATGGAGATTTCGGTGATCATAGATAAAATTTAGGAGCTATTAATATTCTGTTTTTAATGTGCTGAAATTTTGATCTAGATGTAAATTTTTTTAGCAATTGGATTAGATGCACTATTTAATATTTTATCCATTTTTATTCTTTATTCATTTTTCTTAGCTCTGATGGAAATCCAAAACTTAATCTGAAACACTGGCACACATTAAAAGAAGTTTTAAACTTGCTATATGTTCTCTCTCTCCATCTGACTTCTTTATTATATTTAAAGTCAACTTCATCTCCACTATTATTGAATAATTCTATAAATGTTTTTTTTTTACTGTATAGTAAAGTATAACTGTTTACACTAATTTCTTGGTTTTAATTCATTATTTTACGAGGTATTAAATCAAAATTTAAACATTATCAAAGAGCAAAAAAATATACTTCAAAATAAAATTTAACCTTAAAAATAATTATTTTGAGAGTAAAAACAAAACAAATATTAATTAATAGATATTTTTTTTATTCGAATAATAAAAGATACATTCATCAGTTCCAAATAATGAGTAAAAAACTATTAACAGGAACGGTCAGATGAGTCGGCAAACTCTTCAAGCTCTCAGTGCTGCACCAAGGTCGAGATTGATAAGTGCTGATAGTTGGCAAGTACGCAAGAAACAGCAAAGGCCTCCAGACTCTTATAATTACCAACATTGGCTTATTCAGGTATGATGATTCTTATTTGTGATATTTTGAATTTTAATTAATCATATTATCTGCAAGAAGATCATTATTCGAAGGTGTTTGATCAGTATTGTAACAGGGGGTTGTACTAACCATCCACGTAAGGTAATGAATAATACTAATTGTAAATCTCATTGAGCTATAGTAAAACATATATTAAGATTATAAAAATTATTTTAGTAGCTATAATTTGTTTTTTAAATATTAATCTAATGAATTAATAAAAAAAATTGTTCTACAAGGCTACACTGGTGGACAGAATTAACGTATCACTTCAAAATTACTTTATTTAAGCATTTTCTAATACTTATTTTTGGATTTTAGCATATGAGTCAGTAGTAATTATTTTAAAAACACAAAAATTATAAGGATATTAAACTATAAAATTTCAATTCAATTAATTTAGTAGCTCATACTACTGTCCTTTTATAAATTTTGGCAATTAATCTTCTCATGCCCTCAATGAGTTCCAAATCTTCAATAATAGCTGTTTCCAGCTTGTGAAGTGTTTTGGAATAGAATTCTGATACCATGGCGCTTGAAGAGTACCCAAGCCTGCTTTTCGTTGATTAAGATTTCGAGTTTTCGATGGCTACTCTAGAAATATGATACCAACCTCCTAGAGGTATTTAACTACCTCAGAGTTCTCTGTGTAGTTTTGTATGGACATGCTTAAGCGGAAACTTGTATCCAAAACGGGGGGCCAATAGCACTAGGAAGGATCTATAATATTCTACATATGTATCTATGCGTATTAAGGGCTAGTCATGATGAAACGCTAATTCCATATAGACATCAAAAGTAAATCACCCCAGAACATGTTTACGCTTTCTTGGGAAGAAATTTGTGAGATTATGTTTACGCTTTCTTGGGAAGAAATTTGTGAGATTATGTTAACGCTTTCTTGGGAAGAAATTTGTGAGATTATGTCGTTCAAGACTCACTTCCACACCATCAGTAAAAATAACTCACGTCCAATCCAATAAACAGTATTGAAAACTATAATTCATCAGTTAGGAACAAGTTTATTGATTATGTGACCTCAATCAATTTCATCATTCTCTAATTGATCTGTAGGAGGCTGAGCATCGCAGAATCACCGAGCTGCAGGAGAGGTATGCTGGGTCCATAAGGCCAGAGGCTGGGAGGCCTGAGGGCCGAGGTTGGCCAACCAGCACACCTCCCCAACAGCAGTGGTCTCAAGCCAACAGGGGAAAACCGCTTCCTGACTCCATAATTCAGACCCTGACTAAGAGGGTGCAGAACAGGCTCTCTGCGCAGGCAACAGAACCCACTGTTCCCAGGAGGAGGTAAAAATATCTTTTTCATTTATAAAAAAATAAAAATATTTATTTATATTTATAGAAGCAGTAAGTTAAATATAAATGGAGTTCTGTTAGGTTTCTTTTATTTTTAATTATTAGTTAGCTTTTGTGTAATGTTGTTTATTGGTATCTTTGATATTGTTAAAGCATTAGTTGTTAGGAGAGTTGTCCGGGAGGGGTTTTCTTGGCACAAGTTGCGCCATCAAAATTTTTGAGGGGTACATTTCGAAAGGGTTATAACTTTTTGAAATGAAAAGTTTAAAAATAGGGGACAAGAGGAAAGCATAGAACAGACCGCTGGAAGTGCAATTGTATATGACCTATGATTTTTTAAATTCTACTTTCTCTTGCAATGTTATGAAGAAGAGGAGTGCAATTAAATACCTTTGGGAAGGGGAGGGGGAAGTTCATGTCCATCAACCTTGAGGGGGGGAGATGGGTACCTCTGATTGTTAGTCATTGAATTATTGGAAGTTATTCAAATTTAATATGGAACTGCTGAAATTCAAGTTGCTCATGGAGTTTATTATAATTCGTTGGGGAAATAAGTATTTTCAATGTATGTTGCATCTTTTTAATTAGCTCATAACAAGTAACAAAAGGTTTATATTATAAAATAATTACTGAAGAAAAAATTAAATATACTTAATGAATGTTGGTTTCATTTGTGCGTTTCTTTTACAGGCCAGATATACCAAATGAAGTGCCTTACCACTTGCCACCTCAGAATGATAGTGCCAAAGATAAAATGTTGAGTGTGAGTGGAAAGAAAAGGTGTTCTCATTGTGGTGAAGAATTAGGTATTTAATTTTTACTTTATTATTCATTACACAACTTAAGTGTTTACATCATATTTAATTATTCATTATTATTATTATTTAATTTTTTTTTTATTATCTTTTTTACCATCATTACTTATGTTTCTCATACCTTGTTATCTGGTTATTTTCTTAGCCCTGATGAAGGCCTAAACTTCAGGTCAAAACGTCGGCATATGTAAAAAATAAATATTATAATTTATTTTTGACTGAACACCCCAACTATTCTTCTCTTCATTATCTACGACAGTCAACCAATTACCAATTATTAATTATTCATTATGTGTTCAAAGGTCGGGGAGCAGCCATGATCATCGAAAGCCTCCAACTGTTCTACCACATAGACTGCTTTAAGTGCTGCGTTTGTTGCATACAGTTAGGTGATGGTCTCAACGGGACAGATGTTCGGGTGCGGAACAACAAACTCCATTGTCATAATTGTTATTCCAGTGATGATGGTAAGATGATTTTTACGGCTTAGTTCATTAATAATCGTTTTAACTTGAAATCTTATGAAAAATAATTGTTTCTTAAAAAGGTATTTCTGAGAAGTGAGATTGTCTTTGGATGGTATATTTAAGTTTTAAAAACACTCATAAATTCAAGGTTTGAGACAGAGGAATAATATTTTTCCATTGCTTATTCTAAAGTCAGCACAATAGACTAACCGTCTCACTAACAGAATTTATTCTCCCTATTTTTACTGGTGCTCGTTCCCGTCCTATCATGTATTGATGAATGTGTGTAAGAAAGTTTTTAAATTAAACATTGAGGTCACAATTTTTTTAGATTTTGATTATAGTGAGAGATTTTATGATCAGTAGAAAATAGCCAGATCCTCCTCTTTCGAATTAAGAATTCAGATCAAGGACAATTACAGTAAGAGAGTTGGTGGTTATATTTAACATGTGAACTTTCCACCAACCACTATACTATCAATTCCATTTAATGAATACCTACTAGACAATACTTTGCATATGCTAGGTCCAATTGAAAGTCCCTGTTGAATGATTCACAAAAAACATTCAGTCAATTGTGCACTGTGTGACAAGACAATAACAGTTAGTCAAACCAAGCATGTATGGTTCTTTATACAATCCTGGATTTTTATTTATTAATATTTTTCTATAACTTGAGATAAGGGAAGATTTAAGAAAAATTAAGACAAAAATATGAATTTTACCAACCGAAAAATAGTTTTATTAAATAAATAAATATAAATACAAACAAATCTATAATATAAAATTTAGAATGAATTAAAAAAACAAAATGGTAAAAACTTTATGTAATTTAATTAAAGATTAGAATTTAGGACCAGCAATTTTTATTTTTTCAACTGATAGATGAGTCAGACATTCGTTAACCAACATGCCACTTTTGAAAAGATTCGTTGACATGGAGCCGAAGTGGTCACTATACTCAACATTTCTTTGACAATGATGTGTAATTTTGGGTAGTTGTTCTGCAGACTAAACCACCACTTAATTGGGTCCTCGTCATATAAAATATCCTTTTCAAAGTACCTGTTTAATTCAATCATTGCTTTTGATTCAGATGTCCCATTTGGAGAATATTGCTCTAGAGCTCTCATTAATGTTCCCAAAACTTCTAGTTTTTTTTTTCTTCTTCATTTTTCTGTATTCCTCTCCGTTTATCTTCATTTTCCTCTGCCTCTATGAGTTTTCAGTCATTTTAAATAGTTTTAGTATTACACATATGTGCTTCATTATTCTCTATCACGTTTCAAGTGTTGTTCTGGACGAAGATGAAACAGAACGAGAACTGGAACAAATACCAGTAGTGGAACATTCTGTTCCGTTCTGACCCATAGTCTGAATTGCACATACCTAATTAGAATTTCTTTATTAAATTTTAGTTTTGTTAAAATGATAATCTAATCTGTTTCAGGAGCGAAGTTCAGCTGTGTGTAAACATTTGTATGAGAAATAAAGTGTAAAAATTACCACATTGAGTACCTAATTGATCAGTAGTCATAATTAAACTCATTAAAGCTTTGTTGTGTACCTTTGTCAGTGTTTACATAACATAGTTATGTATATAATGTTGTAATATTTATCATGTGAGTAAGAGTATATGTTGTATAATTATTATTTTTTGAAAGTCAGCCTATTTATCTTTCAATGCAATTATTATTATTGTTTTATTTTATTTTTTTGTAGCCTGTTACACTGTTTAACAAAATATCATTTGTTACTTGTTAATGTCCTGTTAGTTTAGCCTTTTCTATAATTAAATGTTGCTGAACCTTTGAAAAAATTTAATAGAATATTCCAACCAGAGATGGTATGTGGGTTCTTCGTTGTATATAAGTGTAATATATATATAGATTTTGTAAATTTATAAAGAATGCAGAATTCAATTGTACTATATGTATTCTTGTTATTAATACAATTATAACTAAAAATACAATTATGTTCTTATATCTGAACATTACATTTTGTGTTATTTGATATCTACTTTCCCATATCCTTTAATATATTCATTTCCTGCAAGCCTATTTTCTGATGTACATGCTTTTTCTTTTCTTGTAAGTATATGTTGTATAATTATTATTTTTTGAAAGTCAGCCTATTTATCTTACAGTGCAATTATTATTATTGTTTTATTTTATTTTTTTGTAGCATGTTACACTGTTGTATTTTTATATTATATTTCCACTTGGCAATGACCCATGGAATGGCTACTTTTACTTTTATTTAAAGTAGCCATTTTTTTAAAAAAGTATGAATTTGTTTTTTAATAACAAAGATAGATAATTGGTCAACTTTACAATTTTTCAAACCAACTACACTTTAAACAGGTATAGGATTAATAAACATCAAGCAAATATTTTCACAATACACATTTAAAATATGCATTTAATTAACATAATTATTTTGTTTTACTCAGCTAGTAAAGAAAGAAGATTAATTTGACCAATTTCATTTTTTTTTTTTTTTTTAGTTTTAAAATTTGTACATGTTATCATTCTTTAAAGTCTAAAGTAAGTCTAAACTATTGAAAGTAGTTGAAATTTTTATTATCAATAAAATTAAATGTGATGTTAATGTAAAAAAAATTAAATGAAAGGGATTGCAGAAAATCAGTGACATTGATAAAGAAAGATATGAATACAATACTGCAATTAACTACAAATATTGCTGTAAAAATAATCAATATTTATTAAGAAACTTTTTTTTTTATGATATAATCTTATCATTTATAGAAAACGTGATTGTACAAAAATTAGGTTTATGGTAACCTGAAAGAGAATGAATTTTTGCTGGATCGTTTACTAGTACTGCTGCTTTTGCTGCTACTTTTTGATAAATTATTACAATTTGCAAAAGTCAAACTATTCTTTCTAACAGGTTTCACAGTTCCTTTGCATTTAATTATGAATTTAATTTCTTCCATTAGCTCATGTTTGAATGATATCTGAAAAAATAGAACATTAAAATAATCAAAATTCAGTTTAATGGAAATCAAGCACTTTAATTTTACAGTAAAAAATGTATATATAAGTAATGAATCAGCTCTGCTATAGCCCACAAAGATTTTAGGAGGCGGTAGTTGCTTGAAATGAATCTCATTCATTTTATCAGCTATTCTATGCTCATAAGAAACACTGCTCATTATCACACTTAATTATATATGCATACTAGCTGTGTTCATTTTTATTTTTTTTATTTTAATACTCTAAAAGTGTGTATGTCCCCTCATTTACTACCAATCCTATCATAACATTTTTTTATACTACTTGAAATTCTACAAATGAATCTTTGAAAATTTAGGAGGAACCTATATCCAAAGGATTTGCAAAACAATCTGAAAAATCATTAAACCATTTCAGTTCCTGTACTCAAAAATTATAAATCTAACATCAGTAATTCTGTATGATTTGATGAACAAGTTATTTATTTAGTTTTATTATCAATTAGCAGAGAACATGGCGGTTTAAAATTAATCTAGATTGTGAGAAATAAAATAATGACCTTTTCATCCCTCTGGGAAATATCCCACAAAACTTCGCAGAAGGAAAGGAGTACACCGATCAAGCAGCCTGCTACCAGAACAACAAACACACCACCCACATTGTTCAGGTTCAATTCACTAGCTTCTCCCTCTTCAGTTCCACTCTATAACACATAGGTCAAGTTACTATATGATAAATTTGAGAAAATATTATTTATTACTTTGCTTATCTTTTAAAGATGGATAATAAACTGATCAATTATTAGGATAAAACAAAATTGTCAGGATTTACTGTCAAGAATTTTTGTATTAGGTAAGCCGACATTTTGATCCAAACATGTGGAATCATTCGAAGTGACTAGATCTAATTTTTTTTTTTTTTAATTTTTATTTATTTATTTATTTTTTGGATCATCATAAAAACCCTGAGGATGTTCGGGTCAAAACATCGGCTATCCTAATAAAAAAAATTCCTGACTGTAAATCCTAACAATTTTGTTTCATCCTGAATCTGTTTTATTTTGTCATATAAAGGAATGAGAAAATTTTACCGTGCAAGCACCTCCTCCTCTCTTTTCTTTCCACCATTTATCTTTTAATTGCGTCAATTTTCCATTCTCTTGAAGTCTAACAACATTCTTGTTAAGTGCATTTCTGTATGAAGAATCTGGTAAAATGTGATATTATTTATACTAGTATTCATAGTTTCTGGTTATTGCTGAAATGCTTCTAAAAACTAGTTCAACATTAATTAGTACATCAATGAGTAACAACTTCTATTAAGTAAATAGAAGTGACTAGTTTTTATCAACTATTTCTATTTAAGCTGTTAAATAAGTTAATTTTTTTTATTTACTTACTTTGACGCATGACTATACCGTATCCTTTACTATCTAGTGAATCTCCAACCATTGCTAGCTGACATTTCCTTTGAACTTCATACTCAATACTGGCTGATTCCATGAAGAAAGCATATTTATCTTCGCTAACAACTCTATTTACACCAACGTCATTGTTCGGCATCATACAATCTGGATTATCCATCATAAATTTGTATATTTTTTGATATATCTCTTCTTTAGAATCCTAAAACAAATAATTAAGAAATCAAAATTATCAGGACAATGAGTAGGTCCCTTAGGTCTACCCCTCAGATGATAATCAATCAGAACAGTGCATATTAACCTTTTAGGAATTATTTCGTTGCTAGCCCTAATAATCACCCTCTTAATCCCCTCCCCATTTTATTCACTATATAATAATCAATCTCCTCAATTATTTATATATATATATTTTTTTTTTTTGGGACGAAATTCATTGGGGCCATGAAGGCCTATTGTATACCTCTATTAATGTTACTCTTATTCAGAGAGTTTATTCCTGCAGTCTCTACAAACTGAAGTAGGCTTGTTGGATTAACGAGCTCGTTTTTCTTGAGATCAGTCCCCCTATCATTGCCGAATAATCGGAATTTTAATTCAGCAAACCTGTCGCACCACCAAGTAATATAATAAGCTATTTCATCCTCCTGACCACCGAACTTACAAAGAGAGGACTCCGTTAGCCATAGATTAAACATGTGATATTTCTGTTTATAGTATAACGCTGTAATTTTCTTAAGAGATCTCCTGCTCAAGTTAATTGGACAGATTCCATCCAAGGACAATCTTGAATGAGTCTGTTTTTTCAAGCACCAGTATTTTTTGGCTTCAACATCATATATCTCTTCAATTATATTATTTATTAGACATAGGCTAAAGCCACAGATAGCTTCAATTATATTTACTGGGTTTAGTTCATGGAATTGAGTATTCTAAATTTTCCATTTGACTCGTCCTTCTTAGATTTGAATGTTCTATGAAATACTTTATTTTCAAATACCTTATGATGTTGCTCATCACTTAATGTAATTGGCCACATTTTGCATCAATAAAGAACCATATGAAGATAAGTTAAAATGTAGTTATGGAATGATGGAATGATTAATTCTAAATATATATAAATATAAAAATAACAAATTAAGTTGTAAATATTATTTTAAACTCTCATTTATGATGTCTATGATCTTGTTCACAGGAATAGAGTATAAAATATATATATATGTAATGATTACAGTTGGAGTTTTATCATTTATGAATATATTCCATAAGAAAGTCACTCAACACCCAGCCTTCATCTTCCAAAGTCTTCAAATGTAATATTGCCGCATGTGTGTGTTGAAATAATAATTGTTATCCGGATTGAAAATAAATCTTAATGGCTGCTATTATAGCTGTAATTTAATAATATACCAAAGGATAATTTTTTATACTTAAGGGATAAACATTACCTGAAACATTTTAATTAATGAAATGAGTGAAATGTAAATACAAACCCTGAAAAAATTAGCTGTTGCTCCTTCCTTTTTTGCTCCATATTTTATATCAGTCTGTTGAGCCAATTCTTTAACATCACTGAAGGGTGAAACATTGTTTTCTACAGTCAAAAAGGCTGCTAAATTGGCAGTGTATGATGAAACCATAATAAGTGTGAAAAACCACCAGATTGAAGCAACCATCCTTGTTGAAACAGATCTAGAGTAAAACATAATAACAAAAACAATAATTCTTTTACTTTTTTGTAGAAGATAATAATTAAATAAAAATAAACCTTATATTACATGGGGGCAACATCAGAACCCTGCTGCATCACTGAACCCAATGTAAACCATAAAGAATTCAAAAGACTGAATTGGTTCTCTAAATGTTCCGGTTCCTCGATACATGGATATGGATTGGTCCATTCATAAGGACTCAGCCTGTATATCAACAATTTAAGTAAAAATATAAAGATATCTCTACTGTTTTGAAGGTTATCGTTATATCTAATTCTTACCTTGCCATAACAAACAATAGTAATGACACACCAAAATATGCACCCAACATACATCCCCAGACATCATTACTGAAGGGTGAAAGAAATGAAAACAGATCAGGGGGTGCTTTTGATGGCTTTCTATGCAAGATGCTTATTCCTAAACACCATGAAGAAATTATTCCACCAGAAATAAAAAAAATTAAGAATTTAAAATTTATGTGAATGTAAACAGAAAATTTCAAAAGTAGACATTTTTAAAAATTGAAAACAATATAAATTCATTTTTTACTAAATCAGTTTCATCATTAACAGACAATCTTATAAAAACCCGAATAAACTTCTACTAAGTTCTTCAAAGATATACCCTAATATAACAAGTCAATATTGGAGAGTTGAAAATAAGATAATACTAATATTAATTGCTAAAAGTTGTTAAGAGAATGCAGCAAAAATGTTTATAAAAAGATATTCTATTTTTCAATGAAACCACCACCTTAGTTTTTTTGAGAAAAGAAACTCATTATTCTAACACATTTTCTTGTTCTTGAGAATTATTTTTCAAGAATAAAATAAAATAATCTCCCATACTCAAAGGTTTTAACTATTCATTCCGTATATACAAAGTAAATTAAAATAAGTAAAATACAATTAACTTATTTTAATTTACTTTGTATACACGGAATGAATACTAAACCGCCTTTGAGTGACTATATATATATGCATATTAGTCTTGGTCCACATTCATATCTATAACAATAAAAAACTTAGTCAACTCAAAGGTTTGAAGAAGACACCTCCAATCGCTGTCTACATACCAATCTCCATCAATCGCCGTCACAGCCCTGTCAGATCAGCCTTTGCACAATCCTCCCATGTTCACTTCGGTCTACTTCTCTAATTATGATTTTAGCAGTTGGTGCAGTGCATATCAATCTCTTAGAAATTCTTTCATGACATTTAATGTAAGCTGTTACGTTTCACCTCCATAAAGAACAGTAGTAGGATAATGGTTTTGTAAATTCTAATTTTTAAGTTTCAGGACAGAAGGCGTGAGCTAAGTAGTTTTGTCCTTACATAGATCTTGTTACCACATAGGGAAGAGTCCCACAAGTAGCAGATGTATGGATGGTCGGTGGAAATTCCTTGGAAGTTCCTCCCGGCGAAGTCCAATGTACTTGCTGACCAACACTGAGAGAGGCCTCCGAGACTTCGAGGTGTGGTGGAGGGACGAGACTGAGTGGAGGGTGTGGGGTAGGATTAAACACCCTCCTCACAAATCTTTAGTTAACCATATACCACAGATTATCATTCATATCTATAGACAATATTTACACTAAGCTTGTGTATCCTTGAATTAAGCTTTGCCATCCACATGTAGAAGGCAGAGCAAGACTCAAGGAGATCCCATTGCTTCTCATCCAGCTGCATCGCTGATATTATAAGCCTAGGGTGACTGAGTGAGAGTACCATAGATGCATGCATTCAATACTTGAGTCCATTGCTAGAACTAAATTAGCCTATTCACAAAAATTATATAGGTAGGATTATATGGGATAATACAAAGATTATGCGGGTGATTGGAACTAAATAGGGATTTTACTAAAGAATCAGAGGTTCAAGTTAAAGGTTCTGATAAAAGTTTGAGAATCTGAATAGAAAAATGTCGTCAAAAAAATGTTGAGCTCCTGATATATGATTTTATTTGTGGTGTAATATGGAGAATCAGCTACTGTTCAAAGGACTTTAAACTGTAATATTTGGATATGATTGATTTTAAAAAATTTGTCTGTCTCCTATAGTTCGAATCTGTAGGTCCAGTTGGGTTTTAATATGGTCTTGTAGATTAATAGATTGTGGTCACTGGAAAGATGTGATATTCTGTTCAGTAATCTATATGAATGGCCAAATAGTTGGTTGGACTCTTATCTTTTAAGTCTGGTTTATGGATTCCATGTTAGTCTAATCCTCGAATTAACTAGTGACTTGTTCATTAAGGAAGATCTATAAAAAAAATTTCAAAAACTTTGGGAAGACAATTTTTTAATTTCTATAAGATTTTCTTATGCTTACCAAAGAAAAAGTTTCAGTAAATATTTTTTGGAAATCATGAGATCAAGTAATCATTAAATATTTTTAAATGAAAAGAAGAAGTAAAAAATTGTTTTTCTGTAACATGATGCTCGGAAATTGTTTATTTTATTCCTTCTAGGATGAATTTTGAAATATATCAAACAATATTTACAATGAAATATGTTTTATTTGAAAAGATATTGACAAAGATTGATTTGTAAACTTCTTTTTTTTTTAAGTAAACTTTTTATCTAATGAATTTTAAGGCACAATTTATTTAAATTATAAGTACTCCGTTACAAAATATTTTGTTAAAATAACAAATTTTGGATTAATCCAAAATACTTTAATCCTAGAAACTTCAATTCACAAGATTGAAAAATTTAATTTTAAAATTATGAATAAGTTTTCATGCATGCCTTTAAATTTCTTATACGAGTTGCCGGTTGTTTTATTCAAAAGAATTAATTTTATGCTATTCCTCATTAGAGACTTGTTTAAACTTCATTTGTTTGGTCAGCTACATTAACTATTGTATTATAATACACTAATATAAATTTACATTTATCATAACTATTATTATGATGGCGAGGTTTATTACGATGAGGGGTAGCTTTACATAGTTCTTTTAACACATCAGGATAATTGATAGGATTTCTACAATTTTAATAATTTTAACAATTTGAAATTATTAAAAATATTCTATAAAAATTCATGTAAATTATTGGAGTAATACAATGTACAATTTTCTGGTCTCTTGCACAGGTGGAGGAGGGGAAGGAGCTTTCGAGATGAAGCCCCCCCTTTCTCCCCAAATGGTAAAATATAATCATTACTTATGAAAAAAAAAATTAATAATTACCTCTAAAAGTATTATTGTTCATGTAATTACATTCAATAGTGCTTAAAGAATCACTTAAACTCTATTTCATATAGGTAGTTGGTTTCTTTCTTTTTCTTCCTAGGTAATTATCGTTATATATTTTAAAAAAAAAAAAAGTTTTGGCTGAAGCCCCTCCAAAACTAAATCCTGGATCCGCTAGTGGTCTCTGGCCATAACTAGTTAATTCGATTTATCCTAACTTGGCCTTAAAGACTTGGCCTAAGAGCTGAAGAGTTAGAGAATGATCGACTTAAAGCAAGGTGAGGATAACTCAACTATCTATTTATGGCCAGAGACCGAAGAATTAATAATGATTTATAAAACAGTAATCCTTAATGAACAAATCATTTTGAATGTTTATTTATATTATATTAATTATTTCAACACTATCTTATAAATGCAAAACAAATATCATTAATACTCAGAGTTAAATATATTAATGTTTTTAGAAATTATAAATAAGAAAAAACAGTAGTATTTGTTTAAAATGATTCAAGGGACTACCGAGATTCATGAATGGATGTGTGAAGTCAACATCCCTTTCTCTCTCTCTTGTTATAGTGATATCAGCAATGGCCAAGTCTGCTCTCTGTAATAAATTTTAAAATTAGTCATGAATATAATTATTAGTCTATATTATGGTGTAAATTATATTAGGAATGAAATAGTGGATACATAATAATTAACTAGATATATAAATAAAATCTTAAAATTTTATATTCCAAAAACAACTAATAATCCATTGAAATTAAAAATGACACATTCCACATCTGCGTCATACATGACTGAATAAATTTCAAAATGGCTCCTGAATCGAGATAACAGACAAACCTTAGTGATAGTTTATGAAGTTTAGTCTGACATATATTGTCTGAAAAAGTGTGAAACCTTGTAAGTCCAAAATGTTTTGATTTAGGCTGATTTTATTATTGTTATATTATTTGATGAACCTATTTTGCCCTATGAAATTTCCTCCATAGTAAACTGCTAAGTCTGGGTACCAAAATGATTGTATAAAACAATCATATGACCTTGATAACTTCTTAATAATTTTTCCTCACCTGAAAAATTGAAATCTAGCAGTTACGTGGTTTCACCTTTTTTCTGACAAATTCAAATGCACTTAAATGATATAACTAAGATCTATAATAATAGTTTAGTTAAGTACAATGAATGATTTTCATAAATTAATGAATATCAATCTCAAAGGAAGAAGAAATCAATGTTGCAAGATACTTGGCGTTTTAATGCCACTTACCCCTGCCTGTACTTCTCCAATCATTCCACTCCAGATCCTTGTTCCATTTGCCAGGGTTGATGGGCTTCCGCTATTCTTGTCGTACTGTTCCACAAAAGTGTAGTTGAAACCAGACATGAGAGACAGTTCATGGATCAAGTCAACGCCAAAGCCTTCATATCTATCATTCCCAGTAAGAGTTTTACTATCCTCTTTCAGCATGTTATATGGCTTTGTCTGTTAACAGATTACCACTGTTAGTAATATAAATGAAAGTAAATGTTTTCAATTTTTTAAAAAGGTATCGTTTTATTTATTGGTTCTCTTCTCATCCTCTGTTCATAAAATCTTAAGATTACACCTTTTTTCTTTATTATATATATTATTATAATATAGAAAACACTATTATATACTCACTAATGCTATGATAACAATGAACGATTTATTTCTTAGGTCTTCACCAGCGTCAACCACCAGGCCTTCACTAATATCAGGAGGCTCCATCACTAATCCTGTAGTTGTGTTCCACGTCCCTGTCTTCTTCAAGCCTTCTTCTGTTAGAGAGATTACATCAAGCTGTATGTCAGTTCTGAACCCTTCATGATTAAATTTAATAACTCCGGTCATCCCTTTTATTTCACTCTGCAATAAACAAAACTCAAATTGGTTCCACATTGTTGAATTTATAATTCCCCTTAAAATGCTATATTCTCTTGGGTTTTTTTTTTTTTTTTTTTTTTTTTTTTACCATTCTTGAAAACTAGTTTTGTGGTATAGCACTTACTTTTAAAGAACTCAATCATTGGTGTTATTGAAACACAACTATTCCTTGAATAAAAGCTAAAATGGAGGTATAACAACATCCTTAAGAGAAGAAAATATTATAATATTGTTAGAGATGTTCCTTCTGAAGAAACAGTATATGTATAATAATATTTTATAAAAAAGGTAATAAGTTTAAAGTGATTACTTACAAGCCTCATATAGTTTATAACAGTGTAACCGAAATCCAAACTTGAGTGAGGACCACATTCTAAAGGTTTTATGTTTAGAGGACTCAAATGTTGAAGTGCTTTTACAAAAAGCCTAACCGCATCATGTAACAAAGCTGCTTCCACCTGCAATAGTAATTTTCAATGTTCAGAGTAAATGAAATTTTATATGTAAGTTTTATTGACAACACCGAATCCATTATAGCATCAAGAAAAAGTTGGGTAGATGTTTTCCTAAATTGCTTAATCAATAGACTGTGAAATACCAATTAGTAGTGATTCAAATCATTAATAGTTATTATAAATGAGAGTATAAACCACTTACTGTTGGTATTGAGGATGATTCCTCTTCCTCTTCTTCTATAGGTGGCTCAGTTGTCGGTACGTCATCTAAACTGGTTGTCGTTGATTCCATAGCACCCTCTTCCCCACGCTCTTCTATTTGAGTTGCATTTCTCACATAAGGATCATCTGGATCTACCAATCTAATTCCAGTTATATTTGTTCCTCCCCACATAAATGGTTCATGATTTATTGTTTGAAAATCCTAATATCAATTAAACAAAGATATTGTCAAATAATAGTTAATAAAAAGTAACTACTAAATTAATACTCACCAAAGTAGTGATAATATAATTGTAGCGACTACCCATGAGACCAACTTGTTGTGCCTGGATCAGAAGATTATAAAGTTTTTCAACAGCACATTCAATCACAATGTTTGTTTCATCGGAATGTTTTATTTCTTTTAGCACAGCCCTAGTTGAAAATGAATGAATAAATGAGTTCATAATTGAGGCAGTAGATGAACAAGGCCATTTTCAAACAAAAGTCTGTTTTGTTTTTTAAATTGTATTTTGAGTCCTTGATATTCATTTTGTCTCTCATAGAAGTTTTAAAAGTTCTATCATAAATTATGTAGTTGCTATAAGTGAATAAAAGAACGAATACAATCTATTATTACACTGTTGGCCAATAAGAGATTTCACACTCCCATATCTCAGTTATATATGAAAACTTATTAAATATTTAAGAATAACTACCAAATCCAGAAGAAAACAAATTATTTTTTAAAAAATTCAATTCAAATAATTTTTCCATTTTTTTATTATGATTCCAGACAACTTTTGAATGGTTTGTTGGAATAAACCATTAATTAGTCATTTTCTGGTTCGTTATAATTAGTAATTGGTTTCTGGAGTCACTGGATGTGAATGTGTTTGAATAAGATAATTTGATGTATTCTACCATCAGAATACCTCATGTACATAAAAGTTATAGGTAGATAAGATTAAAATATAGGAATATAAAACAAGACAAATTAAATGAGATTCATTGACTGAAGCTTTTATGAAGAATAAAAGCAATAAGGGTAATAAAAGAAATTTAAAAAAAAAATTATTTGTATAAATTAATAGTTGGTTAGTAATAATGGTGAAGTGAGCAGAAATGATATTTTTAAAATCCTACAAATAATTTGTATGAACAATATAAAAAAATACATTGATTTACATATAAAAATATGAGGGATGAAACAAAAGTGATTAGTCGACTAATTACCCATCTATAAAAATATAAGGATATTAACTATAAAATAAACTACACAATGTTTACCTATAATTGTCATCTTCTGATTCTAACTGTCTGACAGTCACCAAATATCCTTTGTCGTCAGCTAATTTAATAATACCCTGAATCTTTCTGAGAGCATCAAAATCATCATAAAGTACTGTAAAACCCTTCCAATTCCAGGCTGTCACAATATCAGTAATGGCCTTAAACAAAAAATAAAATAAAAGAAATTCATATTACAGAATACACTTAATCTACAAAAAATAATTCAGAACAAAAGCTTCCAGTGTTACTAAATATATTTAGAAAGATAAGATAAAATAATATTGAATAAAACATTATATTTTCAACTTTTTTTTTTTTTATTTTGGTTTACAGAGCAAAAAACGTCCATGTTCATCATCATTTTCAGTGGTTTTCCGTTAACTTGATAGAGTTTTAGATATATTGTGAAATCTAATCTCTTTTAAAAATTTGGTTATTTTGTTCAGGTACCTACTGTCCTCACTTAGAGCCTTGTTGAGGGATCTAGATGTGTCTAAGTTGGCCATTTTTCTTCTATATTTAAGAAAGTCTTCAAATATATGCTTCATTGTGAGGGTTGTTTGAGAGCTCTGACTGTTTGGAGTTGGCTGATTTGTCATTAAATAATCTTGGGTGAGGCAGCTATGTGCCATACTCAAGCGAGTAAATACCACTTCATCTCTTCTGAGCTGTCTGGAGCACATCCACTTCTTTCCTGATGGTTTGACTTGTATAAGTTTATTTGGCATTTGCTGATCCCACAGATGTTGCCGCTTAATCCAGATGCTAGCTTTCAACTTTATCTAACAAGTGGGTTTCTATTGTAGCTCTATCGGCCATATCATTATCCTTTATGCCTATATGGCTTGGTACCCAGATAAGAAATACCGTTCTGTTCGAAGTTTGAAGACTATGGAGCAGGCAGTAGATTTCAATCACAACAGGATTGTCTGAGTAGGGGTCATTGATACTCTGAGTGCGCTCAGTGAGTCTGAACAGAACACTATAGTATCTTCCCAGCTTGAAAATCCCTCTTGGAGGCCTTTTTGGATGGCTGTCAATTCAGCAATAAAAACCGAATATGTTTTATTTAATTTATACATCTGAGGTATGTTACAAATAATGGCACATGAGGTCGAATTTTTTGTTTTGGACCCATCAGTGTAAATAATTACGGGGTTTTAGTAGTAATTTAGAATAGCAGCCAATGTCTATATTAATAGGTGACTTGAAGTAAAATTTGATTCTTCCTGTCTTAACAATTCAACTTTTTTAATAATAGCAGGTAAACATAAATTATAATGATAATATGAACCTTTAAATTTTTTTTAATGAATAATTTTCTAAAACATGATCAAAGACAATACCTGTGTTAACGATGATGGGTGTGGATAAATGTTGAGTAAGCAGGAACTTCTTCTTTGGCTAAGATCCCACTTTGTAGAAAGATGAGGCATCTCCATTGTATCACAGAGTGACTGAACGTGGTAGGAAGTGAATGGGGACTGGGGCCCAAAAATAGCAGCCACACCATTACTCATCAGCTCACAAACTGTAGCAACAAAAATAAAATGATTCTCGTAAACTATTATAATGGTTAAATTAATAATGTAAGGAAAATATAATGGTCAAAATCAGAGGTTTTCAAACAAGGACCTCATATCTTGATTACTTAATCATTAATAAATAATTTTTATTGTGAGCCATCATCCTATGTGCTAATAATCTTCTCGATAAGACTCAAATAATAGAAATAATCCTCATAATAATGAATTGTAACATTTAATCATGTCTGGGCGAATGACCAAACACTAGTTAAGAATAATACTAATGGTTTTAGATTACACATCTGCAAAACACTAAAACTTGCATATATTCATGAATACAGATTTAGATCATAATCTGGCTTTTGAAACTTAAATGTCTGCCAGCAGAAAGTATGGGCCAAAATTTAGAAAAAAATGGATTGCATTTTTACAAAGTCATGATGTATTTAATCAAAGAAATTAAACAAGTGAGAATGAGGTTATATGTATTTATATGTGAAAGGTTTTGTTTTGGAATATTTTGATATACTGCCATAAAAGTACTTGTCATTTTTTAAGGTTTGCTCTCATTAATTTTATACATATACATTATATCTTTAATGATAAGAATGTTGACAATTTGGCTGCTGTGGTGGCATCTGATACCAAAGCATAAGTCCATCAAGAGGCAGTAAGATACACCAACTTGACAGATACATGGTGTGCAAGAAGGAGGATGAGAGTTGCTGCTGGCAAAATCCTGGAGAGGGCACCTCCTACTGTCTTGGAGGTCCAGAGAGAAACAATGATGGCCTAGTGAGGTGGTAACCTGCCTTGTTGTAAAATTTGGAAGAATGTTTCATGTAGTTTAATATAGCATCACTTAGACTATTTGGTAAGCTGGGTGACAATCACCCTAAATGGTCAGACATGCTGGTGGGGCCATCTGGAGCCTTATACACCCCGCGACCAAGGCCATCTACAAAGGAGTGGTACTGGGTATATTAAAATGTATATCCCTCTCATGATACCTCAATCTTTCTTGCCGAAAGAAGAACAAATTGGCATCTATCCAGAGGATGGCTCTGTTGCAGGTTACCAGAACAAATAAGAGTCCTAAGACAGTGCAGGTCATAGCAGGAGAGATAATTCTTCCTCCTGAAAGAAGATTTGATTATATACCTCTACTAGGTGAAAAGGCTCAGTAGGGATTTCGGAAGACCTTCGAGTGAGGATTGGCGAATGGCCTAATGGATGGCAGACCACATAAAGACACCGTTGACTAACAAAACAGGCTGTGGTAACTACCACTAAGGGGGTTACCCAAAGGAAGTGCTTTCCACCATCCAATCTCGACTAGCTGCCAGATGTGTCAAACCTGACTATTGAGTTTCTCCATTCCTTCCCAGAAATGGAAGTTTTTGTGCCAAGTTTCACTGATAAAGGATATGAATCCCCTACAGTCCCATTGCAGTTTCCTGGAAACTGCCAAATATGCGATCAATAACTGCACTGCATTTGAGACACTGAGGGCCAAGCTAAAGAGAAGTCTCTTTATACCCTCTATTTATAGCGAAGATAGCCTCTATCTATATCCTCAATGAAGCACATTTCCCAAGTGATACCTTTATTGCAAGGTTTTCATATACTGATGGAAGGAAATACTATGCGTAGCCTATTTCAACATAGAAGTAAGGCAAAGAAGACAGGAACTTCCGCAACTTCGATCCGGGATGACTACTGAACAAAAATTAGAAAAAGGACTTATATTTTATTGTTTTTACACAATAAAATTAGAATCCCACATTCTTGAACAATAGGGGAGGAAGAGGGAAATAAATAATGATAAGACAGATTATTTAATTTTTGAGCCAGCAAGAAAAACTAATTATGAACTTGATTAGGCTATATTGTATATTTTGCTGGTTGAAGATATGTAGAAACCATCAGGGGAGCCAATGGAGCCATTGGAGATTAATCATTTATAAATGTGTGTCAGATTAATAATGCCTAGCATTAATAAATAAGCTTTCTAAGTTTAACAAGCTGATCTGGTTTCTAAGTTCCTAAATCTTGGTATAATACATTTAAAGCCTCAAAATCTTTCTCAATATGTGGTCAACAGTTATAACTTTAAACTTTTTGATACACTTGTTAAAATTTTACATTTTTTTATGATTTAATAATGTTAATTGAATGCATTTACTCTATTGAAATATATATGACATAAGATTGATGTGTAATAAATTCATCAAAACATTGATGTTACATACCTTTCTTTCCAACTTCCAAACTGTCGTACTCTGGAATACCTGTATATGTTATTGGCACTAATGTCATGTTGGGAAGCAATTCTTCATCACTGTTAACCAATTCCACAGCAGAAGTGAATGCTTTGATGAGAGTTTCATCTTCTTTGTCAAATAGAGCACCTAGATAAATATAACATCTTCAAAATTTGGCCTTTGTCAAACAAATTGAAATCACTTTTAAAAAATATTATAATGGACACTTTGATTTTTTTTTCTTTTACAACTTAACTTTTAGCCAAATGGTTAAGATCATAATATTTCAGATTACTCTTATAGTTTATTTTGTATGCACAATGAAGAAAGTTCATTTATTTAATTATATGAAAAAATTCTCAAGAAATGTGCATTGCAGTATATTGGTGCGCTTAAGTTAAAGGTAAGCAGTTTACCTGAGATTCCTAAGACAAAAAAAAAATGTTTGAGTGGAGGGTTTTTTTTTTTTTTTTTTTGGCAGAAGGCCTCAAAATAGAAAAACAATTTATTTTTTTCCTTGACCATACTTATATATGTGAATGGTCTAAGCAAATTAGCTACAAAGAATGGAAAAAAAAAATTAAATCATGGATCCACTACAGACTGGAAACTCAAATGTGGATCAGCTTAATTATAGAAATATTTCAAAGTTTTAGTAGTATAAAAATGTTTTAATGTTAATATGTTATTTTTTAATTTTAGAAGTATAAAAATGTTTTAAATTTTTAGTAGAAATAAGAGATTTAAAATTTTTACTTGAATATTTGAAATGATTAAGCACTCCTGTTATTGATATTTTTCACAAAAATACATTGATATTTTTTAATATTTTAAGATTTTCGAAAATAAAAGTAAAAAATTAAAATTCCAAGCAGCATTTTACATTTTCTATTGTAACAGGATATGTTATATTTCTCAAGTTAAAGTAGTTTATTTTGATCAAGAAACTAGGATTATTAAAAGATTAACACCCACACATCAACAGTTTTTTGGGTAGAATTTTATTTTATAAAATATGTCAGGCATACAAATAAATTAAGTAATTGTGCAATTACAGTTATATTTATAACTGTTTTACCAATAACATCATAAATAGGATGTAAACAACTACTTATTAATTTAATATATGATTATATGACATGAGTTCTTATTATTGATTTTTGAGATCACTAACATTTGCAATAATTTACTAAAAAGAGACTTACTCAATGGTACTTACCTTATATTCTATAAATCAATGAAGGTATAATTAGTCCACAACAATGTTGTATTCTGAGTAATTTTTATGCAAATCAAAATGTCTGTAGTATGTTTATTATTTTTTAGAAAAACTTTAATCCTATTAAGATGTATTTCTTTTGGTTATTTAATTTTTTGTAGGAATCTATTGTATTTTAAACAGTATGAGAATTTTTAATTTTAGTAGTATTAACAGTAATTAATAAACAATATAAAATGCTTATTTTCATTATAATGAAATATATATTTTTGTTAACATCAAAAGAACTAATAAAAAATTTACATGAACATCACTTTAGTGAATTTTTAGGATATTAACAAGTTAATCCGAATCTACTTGTATATGGCTAACCCAATAATAAATAACTATGTAAAAATATTGAATTTCCACAGAAAACATTTAATGGTGATAACGTAGTGCTTTTATCAATGTAAAATCTATAGTAAAATAAATATTAAATAGTTTGTATTGTGTATAAAGTACATACTTTAATGGACACTAATATGCAAAAACCAAGGAATTTTTATGTTTGAGTTTTGACATAGGAGGTAGAGATATCTCATTATTTTGTAAAGCTCAACAAAATATTAAATAATGTTTTGATAAAAAGATTACCTATTCTAACTTCTGCCTTAACAATTTCTTCATTATCTTTTTCTTCTTCATTTCTATTGTCTTCTGAACAATACGAATTTGTAATAAGTAAAAAACTAATTAATACTATTTTTATTATCATTTTAAAAAAATATGATTATCGAAACATAACAAGATAATCTGAAGAAGTTCACTGGATAACTAAACACAGACGATTGCCTGTCCTATGGCAACTATTTCTGTCTTGGCAATAGATCAAATTTTCCTGAGTAAACAAATTATTATTTTGAAAATGTATTTATTGCTAAAAAGCTTGATTCAATTATCTGGTATCATGAAGATTTCATTTTAAAAATAAGCACTGTGTAATAAAGTTTTATTTAGACACAATGATTGATAAAAAAAAGAAAAATATTTAGTCAATAAGTTCATTTCAACATTACATTAGTATATACAGATAATATAATTTTTATTTAGGATAAATAAGACAGTTTAGTTATTTAGATTGGCATAAATATATACAAATCCTCTCTTTCATTGGTTCCCTTAAATAAAATTAAAATAAATCCATTTAACCCCTCTATATTGAACTTTTATGTAGTAAAAAACATCTGCAAATGTCATAAAATCATCTTACTTTTTAAGATTTTAAGATTTACTTTTAATTCTTTTGATGTAAAATTATTATTGTTTTTTCAAAATAAATATTTATTTAAGAATTAGAAAAATTATATTTTACATGTAAAAAAAAAAGAACTGCTTATCATAAAAATAATACTAATATTATTAAATATATTTTTCTAATTTTATCTGTTAAGAATCTGCTTTGATATCCTTCAAAATATTTATTCCGCTTTACCGAACCATGTACAGATGACTGACGGATTTTTTTTACTTTTTAAGATAGGCAGAGATATACTCCAACACTTAAAATTTAACCATTGACGTAAGGCGATAATGAATCTGGTGGTTGACGCCTTTATATAAAAATAAATAAATAAATAAAGGATCTGCATTGAGCTATAATGAATAAAATTATTGATACTTTGAATGTTTAATTTTTTTTTTTCTAAGAAACCTTCAGGTTCAATATACAGAGGTATAGCTACTTATTATATATAAAAATCATTTATACAAATAACAATATTTTTCTAAAATTCTCAGGTAATCAATAATTAAAATTTTTTTTTATATACAAAATTTACAAAAAATACTAACTTAATTGATACTTTATAGTATTAATGATAAAGGGGAATTTACAAATGATTCTCTATTATTTTGTAAAAGATACATAAATTATTATATACAGTTGTCACCGATCTGATAATTTAAACATTTTGAAGCTTTATAAAGGGCCATTAGACAGGAAACCATATTGTGAATAAGTTCCCTGGGGAAGAAACACAGGAACGTCTTTTTTTTCAGGAGTTTTACTCTCTAGTGCCTCTTTGGTTGGGTCATTATTCTTACAGTGGATAGCATTTCTTATTTCTGAGGCCATTCCAGTACAAAATGAAGCCTAAAACAAAATATATTTTAATTAATTCATTTCAGAATATTTCTGTCATAGTTATTCAATATTTTTGTAACTTATTTATTTATTGACATTTTCCCCTGCCTCTCAGCAAAAAGGATTTTTTTGTAGACATATATTCAAATTAAAATATATATTAATTTCTATATATTTTAAATACATATTAAAAATATATTTAAAATAGAATAATATATTTAATTATTTTTGTAACTAAGGTAAATAATGAAAATAGTTTTCAAACTAGACTTGAGAGACCTGCAGCATTTTTTTTGTCAGAAAATAAATTTTGGACAGAGGATGAGTGAGATGTACATATTATTCTCTATAAAAATGTCTATAAGCGATGAATTTATTTATTTTCCTGTTGATTTTACAGACCTTGTAGATCTTCATAGCCTTTACCAATTTTCTCAATCTCTGCTTATCTTGGGCTAACACTTTCCAGCTGTCTGCATGCAGCTCTGCAGCATCTTTATTAATTTGATATATTTATCTAGTTTTTGAACTTTCAGATGGTGCCTAGTCTAATATTAAGGCATTCAAATTGTTTACTGTATCAATATTTCACATTGCTATGCTATAAACCTGAAGATGGCCACTTTGTTAAACTAAAATGTCAACTTCAATATGTATATATATTTTTTTTCCATAGACTATCTCTCTACTAATAAATAAATCTTACAATTATTTTGAATATAAAGGAAGAAAAAAAAATGGGAAGCAGGATTTATAGTATTCAAGACTCATTACTTAATATAAAACATCTTACCTCCTGTTTAAAGTCCCAGCAAGCAGAAACAAAAAAAATCCGCAATACACTAAGCGCCGTAGCCATTTTTCATATAAATAACCAATGTATAGTAGCATAAAAAAATATCAACAAAAAACTTCCTCTCACTCACTCTATATTTAATACATGTATTTATATATGCATTGTAATGCAGCAAATATATCAATATATCCATAAACTAATGTTATTAAGAAACCAGTTTAAAAATAAATAAATAATTTGAGCATAAAAATGCATTTCAAATTATTAGAAAAAAAAATCTATAACATTTATCACCTTTTCATATTTTTGTAAAGTATAATTAACATTAGAATAATGGACAAAATTTTATATATTTTTCCTGAAATATTAAGAACTGTTTTAAATTGGGAGCTTCTTACTAATTTAATTTATAAGATGATTTCGGAGTTTTAAGTTTTTAAAAGTTAAAATTTAAATGCAGAATCTGTTGCATAAATCTAGTGTTAAATCATTATAATATAATATTAATCCAATTTTGATTTAAATAAAATTAGATAACTTTTTGAACATTTGTCTATTGCAAAACCAAGCATTTAAAATTTAATTGTTGACTACTAAACTGCTAACGAAATATTTACAAAATTCTATTTACAATTTTTTTTGGCATATTTGCCATAATACATTTAAATTACTTCTAAAAATTTATAATGCAGCTCTTTCGAAAAATTTAACTTACTATAATCAATATGAGATAATTAAATTAGACAATTCATGTTTCGAAAAACAAGAAGTTATTGTAATTGTTTATTGCTAATAAAAATTACTAATATTAATTTATAATTTCATACAATTAATAAAGTAAAATATTCCGATTGGTTTCAAATAGAGGTAATGATCATTAATATTACGAAAATTCTTTTAAAGAATAAATGATAGTGAGTGCTATTCTTCATTAATAAATGAGCATAAATTTTTAACTAAAAAGGGATAGATTTCAATAAAGAGAAAGTGATTCTTTGCCTATATAAAACGATAGTTTTTATATCAAGAATACTTCAGTTTATTCAATACATTTTGAATACTAGCTATATTGAAATATGGAAACCTTTCACTGGAATAGACCAACATTAGCAAAAATATAACATAAATCTTTTTAGAAAAGCATAAAAATGGTTATAAAAATCTTTAAAACTCATTATTTTGAGCATGACACGTAATTTCAGTCAGAACTGCCTCATAAATTAAAATGAACTATAGTTAGGCAAGAATAGGAGTTCAATTTGGTGTATCACCAAGGTCGGGGGTTAGTGGTCAAGTAAGGGGGCTGCTCACCCTCTCCTCAACTGCTACCTTGCGCGACTTCCACACGAACTCGCAGACAGCAATAACGCAAGCCACTCCCATACCACCCATCAGCACCACAAACACTCCTCCGACGTTCGCCAGGCCAAGTTCATTTGCTGCACTACTGCTTTTCAATGCATCATCCTATAAAAAGAAAGGATTTTTATAGAACCAAATTCTAAAACAACATTTAGACTTAAATTAAATATTAGATTGATGTTAGTCAAGTAATTTCTTCCTTTTCACTATCTACATTTTAAATTAAATAGTTAAAATTAAGATTTCAATTAAATTTATTTCAGACTACATTTATTATTATATTGGTGGGAGAAAAATAAGCTTGCTCCTAGGGCTCATGCCTTATCAGTGAGACAAACTGGTTTCGATGGTGTTAACACTATTTTTCTTCCCCCTAATGAATGAAAGATATTCTATGTATCAATAAAATAGTTCCTTCAGTCTAATTTTTTTCAGACCTTTTGATAAAAGAACATTATGAGAAAAAGATAATAATTAACATTGTATAATTGTTATTAATTTTAAAACTGGACATTATTAAATGAGCTTACAAGTATTTTAAACACAGGAAACACACAAACAACTGTTTTGGTAAAAAATTACTGAGAAATTATTAAAATTCTTACCCTGCAAGCTCCACCACCACGTTTTTCTTTCCACCATTTTGTTTTTAGAATATGGAGCTTTCCTTCTTCTTGTAGTTTGAGAACAGCACTACTTATAGCAGTTCGGTATGGAGAATCTAAAATTAAACAAATTGCATAATCAATATTTTAAAAATTAGAATATTTTTTTTTGTATCTATCACATTCTAATATTCCAGAAAAAAAAAACATTTTAATATTAATAACTTTTTAACAAACAAATGTTTATATGAAAAAATAAATAAATACATACTTGGTGGCATTGCAATTCCATAGCCCTTTGAATCAAGTAAGCCTCCAATTTGTGTTAGATCACAGTTTCTTTCTATTACATATTCAATGCTAGTAGACTCCATCAAGAAAGCATAATTTCCTTTTCCTTTTATCACTCTTTCGACACCATCTGAATTTGAATCAGTGAACACACTTGGTCTAGCAGACTCCATAAATGACCACATTCTTTGATAAGTAGAGAAGTTAGAGTCCTAAAAAAATATGGATTTCCATGCATGTGTATGGATTAAATATTCAAAGTGAGTATTTTTCAATATTTTCATCATTAATACAATATACAATAAAATCATTTAAAATAAACTAACCCTAAAAAAAGCGACAGTTGAACCACCCTGGAGAGCACCATATTTTATTTTGGTTTGCTTGGCCAAATCTTCAGCACTTTCAATTGGAGAGTCCATTCTTTCAACAGTGAGGAACGCTGCTAGATTAGCGGTGTATGAAGATATCATGATTAGGGTAAAAAACCACCACATACCAGCAACCATTCTCGTAGACACAGCCCTAATTAAGAAACTTTGCTTATTCAATCAGATTGATAATTTAATTTATAGTTTTTATATAGCATCAAAAATGGAGTGATTGCTGTTGTACATTTTTAAAAAATATTTATAATGAAGTCATTTTAAGAAATTTTTTCAACTTGTAAATTTTTTTATTCCAAGAACTGAGAAGTCATACAATTAGCTAGCTAAAAATTTACTAAAATTAATTTGTTTTACGTTTTAAGTTTCAACTGAGAAATTATATTAATTTATCCTATGTCAAAAATTTAGGAATAAGTACACTGAATATTGATTTCAGTAACATTTAATGTTAATTTATATTTTTTAATAAGATTTTTTCCAAAAAAGTAAAACTAAGAACCATTATATTTCTTAAATATCAGTTTATATTTTCCAACTCGGATATACAAACATCTTTTTATAAAGGAAAGAGGAATTTCAGGGTTGGGAGAGAGGTTTCTAACTTTTAGATAGCAACTAATTCTACATTCTCATACTTAAAAATAATTTTCGAGTGTTCTCATATTATAAGCATAAACTTTTAAATGGTGCTTTGAAGTAGTGACAATGCAAATTTGTTTTCTATATGTAAATATTAGAGATATTTTAAAAATAAATGTGTTTTATAATTAAATTTTTAGTTGGTGTAATTTGATAAATAACATATTTTTCAATGGAGTCTGAGCTCTTTTGTTCAGGTTAAGTGTGTGGTAAAAGTAACTATTGATTCAGAAAAATCAAAAACAAGACTATAAAAGAAGCTAGCCTACCACTTTTTGTAGTAATTAACAAACATTTTTTTCCGAATATGAATAATGCGGTAATTGCATGAATTTTCAACATTTATTTGTGACTGAAAATTCATCACAATCATAGTGGGAGCTACGACCCGTCACGAGTCTGGGTCTCCTCTAAAAGCCTTCACTGGTCGTCTCGGTCTATTGCAGTAGCTCTCCAGTTTTGGGTGCCAAGAAGGAACCGCACAGTGACACAGTCCGCCCATCTCAAATTAGGCCGACCAACTTAGGCTTGCCATGAAGCTAATCGGTCAAAATCATCTTAGTAATATTGTAATCCTCCATCCTCACCTCGTGGCCTGCCCATCGAGGTCTCCCAATCTTATTAAACTTGACAATATCAATGTTGTTATACATTGTAGAATAACAATAATTATTCTTCCTTCCTCTCCAGGTTTTTCACTCTTGAAATGGGCCAAAAATTCCCCTCAGTATTTTTCTTTCGAATATTAGCAGCCTCTTCTCATAAGATCTGGTGGAGACCCATGTTTCGGACCCATATGTGAGAACTGATCGTACCAAGATTTTATAGAGGCTGCTCTTTATCTTGTTGGAGAGGCACCTGTTCCTAAAATGCTTTACTGGACCAAAGTAACTATGGTTGGCCGCAGCTATCCTCCTGTAGATTTCTGCAGAAATGTGGTTTCGAGTGTTCACCACTGAACCGAGGTATATGAAATTTTGCACTGTTTCAAATTTGTAGAAACCAACTTCAAACAGACTAGCTCCCTTCCCTGCTCCTCTTTTATAGTTTTACTTGGATTCATTGATAGCCTAGCCTAAATTTTACTGCTTCTTCTTCAAGATCAAGGACGGACTCTTAGAGAGCAATGTTGTCTGCGTAACCCAATAGCTGAATCGTGCTATTAATCAAAGCGGCCCAAGCCTGGATGGATGTACTTACTGTTCGCTTCTTTTCCTCGAGTATCTCCTTTTCTCACACCAGTTTGTTGTTATTGACTGAAAATTAGGTTATAAAAAGCTAAACAAAAAAGTCCTAATTTTTTCAATGCATATTTACAAAGACATGATGGATTAAAAAAAGTGAAAAAATTGGGGGAAAAGCTTGAGTTTAATATCCTGCTAAGTCACAGAATGCTGATGCCTAGCTCGATCCTATAGTTGTTAGCTTGATAAAACATTTCCAGCTTCAAAACAACCTACTTCTTTTGTCAGTGAGTAAACATATTTAGTACAAAATGTGGTTTATCAGATTCCGTAAATGAACAAAATAAGTTTATTGAACAAGATATTGAAACAGCACAGCTGGAATACTAAGAGTCGATGTTTAATAGGATCCATCCCCCCACTTATCCAATCCCCATTACTCTTCCAAGATGCTCTGTAATTTCAAGTTATTAGCTAAATATGAAATTGTGTTATTTTATTAATTATTGTTATTTGAAAAATGCAGTCTCAATCTTATACAAGTTCTTTGTCACATGATGACTTTAATTGCACCTCAAATTTTCAAATTTTTTTCCCATGCGAGTAGGTCTCCTTTTATTGGGTTGATAATAAAGTGATATAAAATAAAATTAATAAGCCACACAACAGACTTGAAGAGCAGACGGGCATTTTTTATAAAAGGGTTTGATTTTCAAGGTCACGGTGTTATTTGAATGAATTGAATTAGTACTTGATCATGCATCTGATTTATCTCTCGAATAATGCCAGTTATTCATTATTGAACTTTCACTCTAAAATTTAATTGTTTCTATTGAGAAAAAAACATTTGTACGCCAGACAAGATTTGAACTAGGACCATCCATTATTACTTTATGACTCCACTGTGTTCTGTTGCTCTTCGATTCATATATATTAGGTGTTTTAAACTTTTTTGTGTAAAAAAAAAGAAATGTAAGAATTTAATATTTCAAATATTCTATTAAAAATAAAAATATACTGCATCATTAAATAATTGTTAAAACAAAACATTATTAATAATAAGCAAAATTAAGCAGTAAATATGACTTAAATAGCTCCAACATTGGTCTCCTAATTGCAAAACTTTTAGCATTAAGAAATATTATATACATATTAACTCACTTTGGAGCAATGTCAGATCCTTGTTGCATGAGAGACCCAATAGTAAACCAGAGAGAGTTGGGTAGAGAAAACTTATTCTCAACTGTGCCAGACCCATCTGTCCATGGGTGCAGATTCTCCCATTCATATGGACTGAATCTGCACACACATGTGACGAGCAAAATCGCTTTAAACAGTTAATTATGATTTTATCAACATTGGTGTCTTTGTGTTTCTCTTCTCTCTCTTTAATTTCTATGATTTGTTTCAAGAAATTAAAAACTGATAAAACATTTTTACCAAATAAAGAATCAAAGCTCATGTAAACTTTAAATTAATTGCCATTATACCAATTACATCATACCAATTTTTTTTAGCATATCATTTTATGATTTTTCAGTACGATTATTAACAAATTTTTAAAAGACATATTAAGGAAAAAGTTTTAAAGCCTCAACTGAATTAAAGAGATTCACAAAGGCACCGAAAATTTCTTACTTTGGTAAAAAGTCACATCCTTGCTGCATTAGAGATCCAATGGCAAACCACATACAGTTGAGCAGCGTGAACTGGTTTTCCAAGTGATCTGGATTAGGGTTGCATGGATGAGGGTTCTGCCACTCGTATGGTGTGAATCTGTCAACATCTTAGTCTAATAGTAACATCTATTGAAGAATTAAAAAAACAATTGTAACCCTTTTTTAAAACAATAATAATGTAAAAGTAAATGAAATTATTTAAACAATATACTTATCATTCTCAAGAAAAAAATATTTTTTTTTTTAAATGCTTCCATGGAAAGTCATCTCTTATAAATTCAATATAAATATTTAAAAAAAAATAAAAGCTTTGTCACTGATGTCTAATTTCTTCTTATTTTTGTCTTATAATAAATAGATGAAAAATTATTTAATTGTTTTATTAATGCTTACCTGGGAAAATTTAGTAGAAGTTTAGAGTGAAATGAGGTTTTATTTCATTTTCATGTTTTATTTTTATCATTTTAAAATTTGTTTCTGAATCTCAATTATGAGAAAACTATTGAGAACCCTAAAATGAGAAACTTCTACTAACACCAATTTATTCGCAAAGTTTCCACTCTCTAAATTAATTAGAAGAAGCTGCAGAGATATGAAAAGCATTGAAAAATGTGAACATCCATAACAAAAAACTGGCAAGGGATAGGGATAGAGATAAAATGTTTAGACACCCTAAATGGACCTCTCTTTGCATAACACCTTGAAAGCCACATCCGGATGTCAACATTTTGACTGAATTTACCCAGGAACATTATTTTTATCTCTATAATAAAAATTGAATCTCATTTTATTCACCTAAAGAAGGCTAATGGATGTGCCAATATGAAGTGATTTTTACAGTTGTTTATTGAGAGTTAATTATTTACTAATGTTAAATTTATTTATATATGTTAAATACAAGTCCTCCCTGAAGGATTGTATTTTAAAATAATAATTTATTGATAACAATAATTGATAAACTGTTAAATTTTATTGTTCTTGATCAAAACTGCCGGAAAATTGTAATATCTGGCACCCGAACAAGGAAGACAACATTTTTATAAATGCTAAACTCGTGATATATATAAATGGTTATATGATGAAGCAATGAATAAATTAAAGTAAATTTTTTTCTGGGATACATTTTTCCGTAAAAAATATACAGATATACGATTCCAGTAAAATTTGTCTGGCTTCTGACAAATTATAAAAGAAAAGAAAAGAAATTAAAATAATGAAATTAAATACATACGTATATGCAGGCATGATGACATGTTTGCACCAATGAGGGATGATAATAATAGCAATGAAATATCAAAATATAAGAAAAAAATAACTGACCTAATAAACATAAGAAGGTAATACATTTCAATAGTTCGAGTTTATTATTTTTACACTTAATTTTTATAAAGTTATAATTAGCCCAAAATATTTAAAAAATAATAGTAATGTATTTTTTAGTATCTTAACAAAAATTTATTGGTTAGTAGGTAGGAGGCGGTATCAAAGTATAAATAATTATATGTTTAATTGATTTAATTAGTATTTTTTTATTGCCACTCCTTCTCTTAAAGTGCTAAAAATGAGATATTTCAGAGTTTTACTCAAGAAATTTTTATTTACTACTTATAAACTTTTATGTGAGCACAAACATATTTCTTAGAAATATATTTTGATTATATTAAAAATAGTATAAATCTCTCATTACCTAGCAAGGATGAACAGTAGAACAGAAACACCCAAGTAAGCAGTAGCCATGTAGATCCAGACATCCAAAGACAAGGGTGATAGAAATGAAAACAAATTTGGAGGCTGCTTGATCGGCTTTCTATAAAGGATACTGATACCTAAATGAGAAGAAAAAATACTCTATCAAATATAAGAAAGTAAAAAATAAACAATTTTTTTGTAAGTGTGTTGCTGTTTATTGTAATAATGAGGTAGATAAGGAGATGGAGGAAAAATGCGTAAGGAAAACATCACATTGTGTGTAATTACTCAGAATATTTCCTAGACGTGAGCAGAATTAAATGAATTTATTATACAATGTTGAATGAATAAATTATTAGAAAAGTCTATTCAGAGACAAACTAATTTTCCTTCATTGGAAATAAAAGTGACAGTTAGTTACTAAAATAAAATAAGTAACATTGTTAAAATAAGATTAATTATATATTTTAAAACAAAGAGGGCCTATGGCCAAAATTTTGAATTTTTAGTGAACTGTATGATTAAGTTGTAATAGGAAAAAAAATATTTTACTCTATAACCCATGCAGGATCTTCGGCTCAGTACTAGGCACTAGCGGATCCAGGATTTAATTTTGTGGGAAGCTTCAGCCCAAAAGCTTTTTTTTTCATAAAAATGAGGATAATTACTTTGGAAAAAAAGAAAGAAACTATCTATATGAAATGGTGTTTAAGTGATTCCTTAAGTCCTTTTAAATGTAATTACACGAACAATAATACTTTAAGAGATAATTTTTTAATATATTTTTTCCATAAAACATGGTTATATTTTACCATTTTGGAGGGGGGGGGGGCTTCAGCCTGAAAGCTCCGTGGTAGGTCCGTCCGTGGTACTATGTAAGAAAGTACTGTTTCAAGGCCAACATTTGTGCCAAGAGGTGATCGGACCAAGATCATGTTGAGCCCCTTGTTGAATGAAGTTTTTCCCCTTAATTAATTATTCAATTAAGTGCTCTTAATTGGGGCTTAATAATTGTTATAAGCCCCAATGTCTTCCCTTGGGACAGAAGAGAACTTAGCTGCACATAGAAAAATAGTCCTTTTAGTAATTGATGCATAACCTCCCCCTTTTTTTTATAATCAGTTCACTCAAATTTCAAATTGTTGGAAACTGGTTCTTTTTATTCTTCTTTTAAGGTGGATAATTAATATTGAATGTATTAAAAAAAATGTTTGATGATTTTTTAGAGAAAAACAATTTACAATATATAATTAATATCGCCTTATCTATTTAATAAAATCTTGTGTAGTCTCATAAAAACAAAATAGTAAAGATGTTCAAAGTAGCTCTCTGTTTTCCACTGAACCCCACGCTATCCTAAAAGTATTTGGTTATTTACTGTATTAAATACTAATTTTTAATTATTTAAAAATTTAAGGAGTAGACAAAAAATTTAATATTTACCTAAACTCATAAAAGGCATTGTAAAATCCACTGCTTGTTCTCTTTCATAGGTTATAGTCAGATCAGCAATAGCTATGTCAGCTCTCTGAAAGAAGATCACTCATTAATAAGTTTCTTTTAATCTTACCTTCATAATAATTGATGCTTTATTCACCAGAGAGCACTAGACTGTAAATAGCTTATTTTAAAATGATTTGCCTAGAAGTTATTTGCAACAAAACAAACCATAATAAAATATGTATAACAGGAGTTTATTTAAGTTAGGATTCTAAAATTATACTCAGGACTGTCTGCCCTGTTTCACTAATAGATCAAGGAAAGACAAACACGCTACTGTGTTTAAATAAGAAGTCTTTGCCATTTTATCATCAACTATATCTTTGTAAGTAATCAACTGTGAGAAGGCTGACATTACTATTTATTTGGATAGTCAGCCAGCAGTTCAACCTCTATAATTCCCTAAAATGACCTCCATGCTGATGCGGGAGTGTGAGCAGGCATTGGAGGCATTGGCCTGCTTCAAAAGAATGGAACTAGTGTAGGTCCCTGGTCATAAGGGAATTAAAGGCAATAGAAAATCTGACATCCTTGCAAGAAAGAAAGCTGAAATCCCTTTGATGGATAGAGAACCTGCGATAGAAATATCAAAGAAACATCAGTAAAAAGAAGTCCTTGTTTGGTACAGAAAAAGAGTAGAGAAGGAGTGGAGGGAATGCACTGGGTTCAGACAATTCAAACAGTTAATTAAAGAACCCTTCCTCCTCTAGAACTAAGTAGCTGGTAGGCCTAGCTAAAAAATAAACCCAACTAATCGTTGGCGTACTAACGGATCACTGCAGATTCTAAAGATCTATGGTATAATTGACGATGAATTCTGCTTTCAGGGTAGACAAGCACTGGAAACCACCCTTTACTACTTAACAAAATGTGACCGATTCGCATCGCTTAGATATAGACTCCTGGGCTCGAACAATATCTTAGAACAGGATGCTTCCTCCATAAATGGCTATGCCTTTTGAACTTTATTAGAACAATGAAAAGATTTAATATAGAGATGGTGGAGATATAGGCTAACATTTGTATTATTGTCTAGGGGGATGGCAAAAAAGTGTCCACTTGCCAGGCTGAGTCCCCCCATCTGTATGAGTACCAATACCAGTAAAATTATTCTCATTAACCCTAAATAAACTGTTGAAAGCACAGCATTTATGATTGATTCAGGCACAGTCAAATCTTCCTCGTCCTAAAGTAAAGACAGGGACTATTGTCATTACTCTGCATACAGTTTCCAAATCATGACTTATGGAGAGAAAGCCATGGATCTCAACATAACACCCCTTGCCATCACTAAGGATACATTTTAGAAGAGCGGGGAAGCACTATGCAAAGCACTACCTAGGGTACCTAGCAACCAATGCTAAAATTTCTTTTGTTTGCAATGCCTCAGGCACCTTTACCAGAGCAGTTATGTAGCAATAACAAGACTACAAATGTGTACATTTGGATTTCTACCTCCATGCTTGGTTTCCACATTGAACATACACAACATATGACAGCAGACTTCTAACAATTTTTAAAGCAGTCAAGCATTTAACACCAGTAGTTATGGGGAGACAATTTATCAACTACACAGATCACAAATCCTTGAATTATGCATTCTTTCAGGTATAAAGCTATGCATATTCAGATGCTAAACTTCATTTCACGTATCACAGTTGTTCTCCATATTAAAAGGAGCTCCAATCCTGTAGCAGATGCACTTTCCTGCTAGGAAGAATTGTCATTTGAAGAAGATTGAGATTCATTTGCTGCTACATTGGAGACCAGCCAGGAGTTAAGTTCGCTACTTACATAAAACTTCTTGAAATTTCAAAATACCAGGTCAGACCTCAGGTGCTATTGCTTTAACCATTGCTTTGATATAATTCCTAGGAATTATATCAATGTCGGTACAAATAAAACATTTAACTTTCAATGAATTCTGATATTAGGAACCAAACTAAAGTATGTCTGTCGTTCCACCATCTCAAGACGAATCAAAAATCCTTATACCTCATAGAGTGTTTACAGGTTGTGGACAGATCAATTTAGATCTACTTGGTCCTTTGCCTCCATCAAAAGGTATGAGATCCAGCCTCCTCAGCATTGTTGACTGACCCAAAGTTAATTCTTAACAAGACATGAGTGCAGAGTCCTTTGCCAGGGCATTCTTCGACACTCTGATTATACATTTTGGGTCACCAAGAAGAATCACCTTTAATCAAGAACTTCAGTTTGAATTAGGATTATTCACCAGCTTCAGAAAGCTTGTAGTTACTGATTGGACTCATTGGCCAATGGCTGTTTAGAGTAGCACCATTTGTGCATAATGTTTACGGACCTTCCTAATAGGATCAGCATGGCTACATATGTAAAATCATCAGAAATGTTAGAAGAAAAAATATTAATGGGATGTTAAGAAAGTGGAATCATGATATTTAATTTTAATGAGTGAATGACCCAAAACATAAAGCTAAATCCTTTAAAATTTCTTATCACAAAACTTAATAGTATTTTAGAAAAGCTACACAACAGTTATAACCTGATCAAGTAGCTCCCGAATCATTCCATCCCATTCTCTTGTCTCCTTGTTAAATGAGCCATACCTACCGTCCGGCACAAGAACTATCTGATAATTGAAATGGAGGATTCTTGAAATTTCATATATAAGATCAATACTGTAGCCTTCATATTGGGCATTTCCTATCAACTTATCACTAGAGTCTTTTCTCATACAGTATGGTGCACTCTGAAACATAAATGTCCTCATTAACAATTATTGTAAAAATTAAGCCAGGTTATTATGATAAGATTATTACACAAAGCTTTAATTTCTCAAGTGGCAGTAAATAATCAACTGGTCAAAGGTTTTCTTATTCAAGCATCATCACAAAAACCATAATGTCACATAAATATATACCAGAGCTCATCTCAAATCAACCTACAACTAACTGAATAGCGACGGTTCCAAGGTAATTTAACATATACTAACATGCTACCTCAGGTTTGCATTTCTGTCCTGATAATCCCTTTATTAGTACTTTTGATCAGCTAGTTACTAACTGTTATTGGAGAGAAATAGAGCTCAAATTTGAAACCTAATAATAATATCTTGACCAAACATTAAACAATGGAATTGAACTAAAGATGAATCCTAATGAAGCTTTACACAATAGTAATTTTTAAAAAAGTTAACATTTTCAACAGTCAATTACAGGTTATTTGTTATGTGTGATATTGAAAATCATCTAACAAAAGGCTTTTAAAAACATTGCCTTATACTACAAAGGTTAAACATCATTAAACTGTCCTTTTTTGAATGAATTTAGCGAAAAATTAACAACTTTACTGATATCTAAAAACAAGCCCAAAAAAAAAGTTTGAGAAAGGCCCAAACAAATTTGAGAAAAAATTACCATTTTTGTATCAATTTTTGAAAAAAAATTCTGAAAATGTATTAGTTGAACTAGGTATAAGACATTTTAAATTTTTAATAATACGATACACAATATTATATTGGTAAAATAAAAACTGACCAATATTGTAGTAACAATCATAGTTTTGTTAGTTAAATTTTCAACTATTTGATGGATCATTTCATGGTAAGTCCGAGTAAAATTTATTCCTTCTGTTGAATTCCAAGAACCAATTTTTTGGAGGCCATTTTTTGTAAGTTCTATAATGTCGAGTTCAAAATTAGATCGAAATCCTTGATTATCAAATTTTATAACACCAGTTAGCCCTTTCATTTCAACCTAAAATAATAATACAGAACATGTTAATGAACAAATGAATAATTAATATTTATACTATTATTTTGATTTACAAATATCAGAGCAGTGTGAGGTGTCTTTGGAAGAGTAGTTTTGGATATAAAATCTTAATAATTAAATTAAATCTGTATTGATAATGGTCACTTACGATTTTCATATAGTTTATGAGACTGTAACCATGTAGCCAAGTATCTGCAGCATCACAGCTCAGTGGTTTGATATCTATCCTCTGGCTGCTATCCAGGTCATGGAGTGCTTTAGCAAATAGGTGAACTGCATCGTACATTAGTGCAGTTTCAGCCTGTAAAAAAATTACCAATTTCATTCCTTAACTATTAATGAAGTTATATTTAATTAATTTGATAGTTTTAAGCATAGGTTACTTAGAATATACCACGAGAAATCTTATACTTAAAGCCAGCCTAACGAAAAGATAAATATGAAATCTAACTATTAATAACATGGATCTCAATGATTTACATAAATCATTTAACAAACAAATTCAAAAGAGTACAGGGAAAAAGTTGGAGCTTTAAATTAAATACCAGGATATTATCAAAGTTTTTAGTTGTTTTATTATTAAACCTAAAAAAATTGACCATAGGCTCTATTTTTTAAAAATTTAACTCAACTCAGAGCCAACAATTTGATGTCTTTTTTTTTTTTTTTTTTTGGTCCTTCCCTTCCTCGCCGTTAAGGCTATACGGGATTTTCCCGGGCCAGGGAGTGTGGGCGGGGATTTAAAAGACTCCCTCGGCACCGGGACGCGAACTCGTGCCTATTTTTATATCTTTAATTCATATGTCAGGTTGCCAGGCAACGGCGGTGCAGTGTACACGCTTTAGCCCATTCGGCTACCCCGCCCACTTACCAATTTGATGTCTATGATGATGGAGAGTTCAACCAAATAGATTTAGTTTTGGAACTCATTTTATTCTTTCTAAATATTTCAAATATAGCCAGTCATGCCCTTGTAAAAACAATGTTTCCTCGTAAACAAATAGTTTTGTGGCCTTTTAAGTAATAATAGTGCCAAATTACAAGGCAACTTCAAATGATTAATTTTACAAACATCTAGAACTTTTGCTAAGCTAATACATTGTATAAGCTAAAGTTAAAAGATAGTTAATCCTCAAGGAATCAGTAAATCTTAATGAACACATTTGTTTTTATTTCAAAATTATTCTTAGTAACTAAATTGGGAACATGTGCAAATTCATACTCTTAATCCACTTCAAACAGGTTTCTTCTGATTTGCATTGGACTTTAATAATTATAACCTCTTATTTTGTATGTTTATAAATAATCCCTCTTAATTCTATAGATAGTACTCTAATTATATGTATGCTAAGAACTCCTAAATGTACTATTCTTATTAATGTTCTGAACTTTCCTCAATAAATTTTTAGGAGACTTGACAGAATCAATCAAAGATCAAAGTCTCCCTGGAAAGTGCTTATTTCTAAACCTTTCTTCGTTGTTTTGCAGTATCCATTTGACTTTCCATTTCTAAGGAAAACTTTAAGCTTCTAGTTTCCTCTATCTTTCTCCTCCTTTAACTTTTGAATCCTTTGTTTATGAATGAATGGCCTAGAGAACTCATTAACTAGTTGAAACATTTGATGAATTGTTATTTCCAATTTATATTCATAGTCTGCTTCTCAATTTATGTCTGTGGGCTTTTGTTTAACAACCCTTTGCATATTAATGAAGTCATACCTTCCTTTCCTTTTAAGTTTCATTATTTTCTTATTAATTTTATAATTATTTATGTAAACCGATATGTAAATATTGCTTTTTAATTTATTAATTTTTACTATTACTCACCCACATATGAAATACGTAGGTTTAATTTTTGATAACAGCAAAGTAATAAAAAAAAAATAAAGGATCCTTTTTTTTCAGTTTATCAATTCATAATTATAATTGTTGGTGCTTTTTCATTAAGTTTCATTATTTTCTTATTAATTTTATAATTATTTATATAAACCGATATGTAAATATTGTTTTTTCATTTATTAATTTTTACTATTACTCACCTACATATAAAATGAAATCTAAAAAAAGGATAAAATGTAGAGATGTTTACGCTTTAGAGCTAATATTACTTCAAAATTAGAATTACGTTTTTGTTTTCAACTTTAAGAAACAACTTTCCTTTTCATAGGGAAATAAATTCCACTTTCAAAGGGAAGCCATTCTTAAGTCTTGTCATTCCATTAGTTTTTTCAACATTTCAAAAGAAATTATCCTAGTTTTGGAGAAATGTTACATCCCAAGGTGTAAAGTTCCCCTATTTTATGGCACTAACGACTTACTGGTATAAGTTCAGGTGATTGTATCTCGACTTTCTTTCCCTGTCTTGGTTCCAAATTTGTCCACTCTTTGACTACTTTTTGCACTTCTGGATTCTGTGGATCAACAAGTCGCAATGCTGTTATATTTGTTCCTCCATATTTAAATTCTTCTAAATCAACACTATGCAAATCCTATGAAAAAGAATACAGGACATAATTTGATATTACAAGTAAAATCTGTATTCAATGGTTTTATTAATTCATTACTTACTAGTGAAGTTATTAAATAGCTATGATAGTCACTCATCATTCCTATTTGTTGGGCTTGTTTCAAAACATTGTATACTTTGTCAGTTGAGCAATCGAGGACAATATGAGACTCTGCAGAATTCTTAATTTGCTTTAAGAGAGGTCTGTTGACAAATTAATAAAGGAACATGTTATTTATATTATTTTAATGTTATATTTAAAAAAATGATAGGAATTAAAGGAGCTCAACTGAGTATCAGGACAGGTTGTGCATGTTGGCTAATCCTATGGTGCCTATATCTAACTACATTGACTTATTTCAATAAAAATTATTGATAGAAATATGTTGGGTTAGCAAATAAGTCCTTTAGGTTTTTCTGTTTATTTTTATGTCACTATGATACACTTCTTATCGAATGAATTAATTCCTAAGGTGGATTGTTTATTCTGTTTGTAATATGTCAACAACTATATCTGTTAACTCTCACTGAAACTAGCTTAGTATTGTGTTTGCTATTGCACTGTGAATGTGGAAGAAAATATCATTCATTATTGGCATATTTTGTTGTATTATTTTAGAAAAGGTAGGCAGCACGAAGAAGCTCATAGAAAAATTTGCAGTGTTTATGGGGATGATGCCTTAACCGAACGCACACCTGTCAAAATTGGTTTGCCAAATTTCATTCAGGAAATTTTGACATCTATGATGCTCAAGGGTCTGGTTACCCACATGAGATTGAAACAAGCAATGTTAAGACCATTATTGATCAAAGTTCCACCCAATCAGTGCGATAGGTTGCTATGGCCCTAAATGCATTGGACAAAAGCATTGAAAACCATTTGCACAAGCTCGGCTATGTTTCTAGGCTTAATGTTTGGGTCCCTCACATGATTTTTTTCTTCAATATCACAAAAAATGCTATAATTTCAATAGAACTTAGCTATCTACAAGAAATTTAGCAGGGATTTAGGGCCACTTAAACTACACAAAATGACATCAACCTTTTTGTAGAGCTTCGTAAACAAACTACAAGTGGAGATGAAAAATAAAAACTTATGAGGAGTTTTTGTTTATTTATTCCTTATGTAGGCATTAAATCAAAAAACCATTCATACAGCTTTGAAGAACAATAATTCAGCTTTCCAACGGATAAAGTAACATCGAATTTGGATAACACTGAAGAATTATGAATGATCGGTAGGATGTTGTGTTCCATCAAGACAACACTAGGCCCCGCACTTCATTGGTCACTTGCAATAAATTATTGAGCCTTGGATAGGATCTTTTGTTCTACCCTTCCTATTCACCAGACCTAGCTCTAAGTGACTACCACTTATCCTGGTCTCTGTAGAACTAGAAATTTCAACATGAAGAGGACATCAAAAACCACTTGGATCAGTTTTTTTTACAATAAACTCCAGATATTCTATGAACATGAAACGCATTATGCAGTTAGTGGAAAGATAGGAAAAAGTCATATTAAATAATGGTGAATATATTGTAGATTAAAATCAATGTTATGTCTATAATACATTGAATTTTATTTTACCCTGAAAAACCGATAGAACTTATTTGCAAACCCAATATGATTATTAGACCAATATCATAAACATATTTTAATATTTTCGTTAAAGATATAATTGAAGATCTGACTAATAAAAACCAAAGTAATTGATTTCTGACTTAGCACACCCATCTGTTGCACACATGGGCGTATGCAGGAAAGGGCAGGAGGGCTGTTGCCTTCTCAATAATTTGAAAGAAGATAAAATATAATATAATTCAAAAGGTTTACTGATAGTCCAAGAAAACTTATTCTACTTATTTATTGTGTTTCAGATACAAAAAAATTATAAATTGTATTAATAATAAAATACTAAGCATTATATATATATATTATATATATGTAATATTATAATATATTATATCATAATATATATAATATCAGTTTATATATTACATAATAGAGTTTGTTGAGAAATCATAAATCTGTCTGAAATTTAGAATGATTCAGTGTTGTCCCTCACCAATATTAAAACTGCATACGCCCTTGACTGCACAGTGAATAATGTTTCTATTTTGGCTTCCCCCGAAATCAAAGTCAATACAATTTTATAAGATTTTCAGAAACATAAGTGATATAATTTCAATAAGTGGAATAGATATGCTAGATAGGTTTTTTGGCGGTGATTACAGTAGTGGCAAAACTGAAGAGTAAAGTTATTGTTCATTTCTTCAATTTTATTAACTTTTAAATCAGAATTTTTTAGTATTCTAGTTTCTTTAATCAACCCTTTCATTTTCACTGTACATGCATTTATATAATTGTCATCAGGGTGATTAATGATTTATAATTCTTTGAAGATACCTGAAAAAACAGATTCACTTGAATTATTGAGTGTGTGAACATAGTCACCTATAATCATTCCCTTCTGGTAGCTGTCGGACTGCAATGGGAAAATCTGACGGGCCATGAGCCTTCAGCAGCTCTTGCAGCCTAACCAAGCCTTCATTACTCTCATAGATGATGGTAAAAGATCTCCAGCCAAATGAAGCTACCATTTGCACATATGCCTGAAAAAACATATGCATGTGTTTGACACTTATACCTTGGTTTTTAAATAGTACATTATAAATAATGAATTGTGCATGTTACACAAATTTAAGCTGTTAAACTTACCTTGGATAGTACAGTTGGATGGGGATAGAGGTTAACCAAGCAGCTTTCCCTTCTCAGACGGTAATCCCATCGTGTCTCAAGATGAGGTATTTCCATCGTGTCGCAGATGGACTGAACATGGCTTGCTGTCTGGGGAGACTGTGGACCGAATATTGCAGCAACTCCACTTCTTAACAAGTGACATACTAACAAAAATATTCTATGAATAATAATCAGTAAATAATCCAATAATTAGTAACAGTAAATAATTAAATTACTATAGTAATAATTTATTTTAAACGTGCTCTTCAAGACTGTCCCAGTATCATATGATGTTTACATTACTTTAAAAGAGTTACATTTTACACATAAGTAGTTCTGATTTTTCAGAGTTGAATATAAAAAAAAAAATATTAAAACGGAAAGTTAGTTGTTTTACCTATATACTCTTGGTATAAAATTAAAAAAAATATTTTATATATCAATAATTGATTTTAAGTTTCAACTGGAAAATGATTAAATATTATTAATTATATTATATTTTCTTTCAAATCCAGGTATAGCAGCAAGAGTCGAGTCAAGTAATTGTTAAGCAAAATTTTGTCTGTTCATGCCTGGATAGTATTTTTAACTGATGATGGTTTGGTTAATCTGAAGTATTTCAACATTGACTAGAGAAAAACTCTCAAATTAATTTCAGAATGCTCGTTTACATGACTATCATCAGAAAATTTTTGTCATATGTTGTTATGGATTTTAGCTCTATGAAACTAACCAATTCTTTCTGAATAAAATAGTTACTATTATATTCTTCAATGCTCCTCACAGTGAATCAAGAAAAAAAGTCTATAAAAGCATTTATATCCATAATATTACAGGCTCAACCTTAAATAGATACATATATTTCTATTATAAACTCCAAAACCAATGAAAATCACAAATTTGTAACACTTATTTCAAATCTGATCCCCAAAATTCTTTTAAAATTCTGAAAAAAAAATTTGGTATTAAGACCATCCTAGAAAAGTTAATTCGCTGTACTTTCATAGGGCTATTAATGAATAATTTCATTTATTAGTCCTTAATTAATTGCATTAATTATTACTTATCATTAAGAAAATATAATCGTTGTATGTATTATAAATCTATTAACATGAATCTAATATTTTTTATAGACGAATTTTACCCCGTTTCGAAGCATGAAAGCTGTCTAAAGGAGATATCTTCTCTATCTGTGCAGAAAGTCTGGACCTCGGCAACATCATTCTGTCTGCATTAATCCTTTCTACAGCATATTTGAATGCCAGCTCTTGTTTATCATCTGATGGATGGAACAGTCCTCCTAAAATAATCATCAAGACAATTATTTTATTTTAATTCTAAATTAAAGAAATAAACATTCCTACCTGTTTTATAAAAATCAATGAAACAATATTAAAATAATTAAACAATACAATTGATGAGTAAGTATGAATAAACTCAAAATAAACATTCTGTTTTCTATTGAATTAATTGAATGATACTAAGGATCTTATTATTATTTCTGAATGAACAAGATATCAAAAGAAAATAAACTAATTAGATTCATAATAATATAATACTGAATACAAAATTAAAAATTGTTAAATGTTTATTTTCATTTTACACCTGTTTTAAAATAAAGCTGATTGTTATACAACAGAAAATATAAAGCCAAAAAAATAATAAAGTAGCACCATGAAATGAGGACCCATTGTTGCCTCTGGACTTGAATTCAGATTAATTGTTATTCAAGGAGATCTCTTTTAATAATTCTTTTTAGATGTGGGCATATGTTTTGGGGAATATTTATAGTTGCAGTATTTATCGGGATCTCTTCACAGCCAATTATAAAATATTGTACGATGTATCAATATGTACTTGTGCTAGTATTTTAATTAACATATTCTCATTTATTGTTATCCTACATCTGTTTTGCACATGTTTAGTTAGTATATTACTTCACCGCGGAATGTACATGAGACTGGCAAAACAGGAAGAATTAATTAAATTCTTCATGTTATAAACCAACTTTGAATTACAGATTAAAAATGTATGGTAAAAATTGAGCAATAATTTATATCAATGTGTTATATAGCGAAATGTAATACTGTGTACAGAAAAGTATAAATAAAAAAATAACAATAAAATAAATACATATAAATATAGTTTCCATTCTTGGATTGTACTGGATAAAATTAATTTTTATTTGATATGTAGAATGGAGGTAATGTAGAATGATAAATGAAAAGTACATACAGAGCTTACCAATTTTTATGACCTCTGGTAGAGCATTGAATGAAGGAGCTTGTTGAAACAGTAAAATAATCAGGAATGTATTCAACATTTTAAGGCTTGATTGTTTAGTGACGAAGGATTAAATAGAACTGGTGGTTATTCCTTAACAATATTTCTGTTGTCTTCCTTCAATTCCTCAAAACGGGGATACTCGTATGTCTGCAGTCTCTGTTGGTGTCCTGTCCAATTCATCCGGATTCTTTTCCATCTATTGGCTGAGATTTGTAACTGCCTGAGGAAGTTCTAAAAAAAAATAAATAAATAATCAGATGACAGAGGTCCAGGCGATTTGTTTTTATGATACATAAATTAATTTGTTGTCGTACGGAGGAATAATGAGGTGTGGGATCGATAGAGGTGTATGCGTAAGGATGGATAGGTGTAACGAAGGAAGAGGTACGCGCTGTCGTCTGGGTCTGTCGGTGGATGTATGACTGTACTCACTGTTGTCCTCCGATCCACGGGAGTCGGAGCTGTCCATGCCCAGGGTGAAGAGGCGAGGTGGAAGCTGGGTCTAGAGATCTGGGTGCGGAGGCTGTGCGCATGTGCGGCTGCCGCATCGACTCGCCACTCGCACATCCCCCTTCAGCTGAGCCCATGCCATTTTGAAAGCAACAATGAGGGGGATACTTGCATCCATTACAATAATAAATACTTCACGTTGTAGCAGCCTAAATTTCAAAACCTCCTTTATTGAAAAACATAAATATAATCGAATCCCTCTTATCCGGACCCGCCATTTCCGAAACCTGGATTATCAGAAACTTATTTTATTTTTCTTATGTTAGTATTTGTGTTTTCGTTCAAAATAAACTGATATGAAATTATATTAAGCAATGTTAATAGGAATCCATACTTTTAATTACTTGCTTATAAAAAATCGAACGTATATATTTTTTTCTTAATTATAAATAAACCTCTGGATAAAATTAACGCCTCACTCGATATGAGTAACAATTAACATATATCTACAATTTTCAAGAGTATACAGAAACGTTATTTCAGAGTAGAAGTATAATAATTCAATCGAAATACGGGTGATCTCTAGTTTATCTTTTTAATCCTTTTATTCACAATAGTGCAGGGTTGCCATGTCAGTAAAGTATTTTCCCCCTAAACCTATCTAAATTTCCCCTAAATCTGCTAAATTTAACCCTAAATGTTTGATTATTTTATTGTTTGTTTTTTCTATTATTGCAACCAAAATTATCTCTAAAGAATAGTATTGGGATAAATTGTAAAAGTGTTATTAAAAGCTTTTATTTTTATTTAATTCGATTTATAGAAAAACTACACATTTTCACATCCCAAAAAAATGCAAAGGGCAAAAAAAACTAAAGCTAGGTTGGGAAAAATTCAATCTGGCAATCCTTCTGTTGTGTCAAAATTAGCATCTGGAGATTTCTTCACTATAAGTCATAATTTGGTTGTCTAATGACGTAGATCTGTTTCTCTCATATTAGTGTTATCGAAAAAGGGGTCCGTGTTTATCCAGTTTCAAATAGTTATACTTTCTTATGTTTTAAAGGGATTAGTTCTTGGGAAGGTAACATAAAAAACGACTCAGACCTACGAAGTCCAGTAAGTAAAATTTGCCAGGTATCGATTTCCATTCGGACAGTGGGGACAAGGCTAATTGAAGCTAAACTAAGTTCCTGGAACTCAGAGTTTGTTCTTCTCCCGAACTCAAAAAAGGAACAGACTTGAATTTGCTCATAAAACATGGATTGAGTTTAGAGGCTTGGAAGTGAATTCTTTTTACGAAATGATTTGAATGTGAGTTAGAGGTCATCAGATGGGTCATTTTTTCGTTTTTAGACCTCCAAGTGAACGATATTCTCAGTGAGGTATGAGGCCGCAGATAACATTCCGAGGAGGCTCAAACATGCAGTGGAATGTTATTTTCTTATATTTCTATGTATGCTTTTTTACTTTTTCATATTACTCCATCCAATCCTACTTTATTCTTCTGTCTTCCAACTTAGGATCAAAACGTCGGTAACCACAAGACAGCTAATTACATTTTTGTTTCTTGTATGAGGATACCCCAATCATCTTATTCTTTATTTAGTTAGGTATATATACCTAATAGGTATCTAATTAATTTTCATCACTAATTACTCGTTAATAAAATTATAGACTTTTTTATACTTTTAAGACATAAAAATCTCATATAACGATTCAATGATAGCTTCAACTTATAACCAGCCCATAGAATTATCTAGAAATAGCGAACAAAAACGAGGGTTGAACTTCTATTTTCTCAAAGATCCTCGCTTAGTCGTTAAGCTTTCAAAAGTTTCCGGATCGTTTGTTTTGAAAGTTTTATTTCCTCTCTCTCTCAGAGAAAAGACTCAGTGAGGAAAATAACTAATTTCCTTAATTGATTTCCCAACAAACTTTTCTTCTTACCTCTTCTTAAAATTTCAATGTTTTTTTAAAAATTTAATTGTTCAATTAACAAAAGATGGCAGAACCAATCCGTATGATCGATTGGATATATGATTCAAGTAATAAATTAAAAATAATTTTATTAATAATTAATGGTAGTATATACTTGATATACATATTATTAAAATTCATTTAATGTATATGTAGGAAAATCTATTTTTATATAGGCCCTTACCCTTTTATTTTTATATTAAATTAAATTATGTTCTTTGATTAAGAATTAAGTAAGGGAATGCAAAATATAGATTAATATAGCAAACAAAAATTACATAACAAATTACGGAAATACATAGTTCATACCATGTCTTGAATAATGAACGTATTAAGTATTTCAATCATTGTGAGAAAGATAATGTTTTGACTCTTGAAGTTTGTTTATATCCTATTTTATTTTGTAAAAGTATTAAAAAACTAAAATGCATACAAAAATATGTCGGTACTTCGCTTTCCGATTTATAAGAGCAATTATCTTACAGTTTTATCAAAATTAAAATAAATTATCAATGTTTTACGGTTTTGAGTTTGTTAATAATTTTTTAAATTATAATATTTTAATTTGAATCGAAATAAAGTAATATTTATATTAAAAAATAGTTTTTATTAGCAATACTCGTAGTTAAGCATGTTTGATACTTTAAACTGTAATTATAATTTTTTTTTTTTACATTTTCGAGTTTATTAAGGATGTTTTCAAATTATAATAACTTAAGTTTGAACCGAAATAAAGTAATATTTAAATTGAAAAATAGTTTTTATTAGCAATACTCGTAGTTAAGCATGTTTGATACTTTAAACTGTAATTATAAATAATTTTTTTACAGTTTCGAGTTATAATAATTTAAGTTTGAACCGAAATAAAGTAATATTTAAATTAAAAAATAGATTTTATTAGCAATAGTTAAGCATGTTTGATACTTTAAACTGTAACTGTAAAACTTTTTTTTTGTTTTATTTATTCTTCTTTTAATATTGATCCTAACGGGTCATTGTGGAATGTAAAAATAAATAAATAAGTATTATTTATCTGTAATAGTAATGTATGCTTTATTAAATTATATTCTTAATAGTCAGTAGAACAGTTTATTGACCAAGTAATTTTACAAATATTTTTTTGCATTCGTATCCTTCATAAATTTAAGAATAATCAGGAGATTTACAACGCCTTGCATATATTAGTTATACGAACCAACAGAATGAATCAGTGTACAAGGTTTGCCTAACTGCTTGTACGCAGGCGCTATCTATTCAAACAAATAGCTGATAGTTGTAAAGCGTTTTAAACTTCCTTATTACATTTAATTAACTCTAAAGGATAGAGGAATCGTAAAAATACTCCTGAATTGATAAATCAGTAGTATGTTAAAGAAGAAAAATCAAAATTAAAAAATAGTTTATAGTTATAGTTTTAAAATATCAAACATGTTTAACTATTGCTTATAAAAACTATTTTTTAATATAAATAGTACTTTATTTATGTTCTGACTTAAATTATTATAACTTTAAAAGTTTGTAAATCTATATGAAGTATGTAACTGCCTTGTGACTGACCCAATGCCTCATTTTTTGATTCACTGAAGCCAATTTTTTAAACCTAGAAATAAGTTCTTAAAGACATTTCTTGTTGAATCCAGGTACGGCAGTAATGTAGAGGATATATTGAAGATGGACAGTGTCGAAAAAAAATCAACTATATTATTTCATAAAATTATGCTCAATAAACTATTAAGTGGTATAATTAATCACTACAGAAAAATGATAATGCTTATTTATATTGTTATTTATTTAATACGTCTAAAATATTTTAAAAGAAATATTACTGAATAATTGTTTTACTAATTATATGTTTATATGAATATTAATGCTAATTCGTTATCAGTCATATTTAATGATATGAATTTTGTTAATATTATGTTTGAACACAGAACTATACTAAAAGTTTAATATTGTTCAAAATATCTTTGTACTGACATTTCTTTGCAAATAAAATTTTTTTTTATAACTTTAATAAGATCTCGAACATACTCAAAACCGTACGTTTTTATTAGGCAGAACTGCAGAATTTACGATAATAGCTCATATAATTCGGAAAGAGAAGTGATAATATATATTTTTATGCACTTTGGTTGTTTATGCATTTATAAAATCAAATGAGATAGACATAAACATTATTAATGGCCAAAGTTCTCTTCTCTGTAATTGACAGACAAAAACCGAAACAAAAATTGTTCTGGTCAGAAGAGCAAGAGCCCATTATCATTAAAAATATTTATTTACATGTGCTATTCATTAACAGATAATCATATAAATATGAATTCAGAAAATAATATATAGTTCATTATTAAAATTATATGACGATAGTCAGGATAGGTCGTTTGCTGACGGTTAATTATTCAGTTGATTTTATTTTTTTTTTTATTTATTCATGATATTTACGATTGTGCTAAGATAAAAATACATCTAGTAAATGTGCACAAAATAATATAATGACATGAAAACGCCAGTTGAGAAACTACACACTGGTAGCACTCTAATATTCAGGTAATTTATTTTTACTTTTTATATAATTATTTTTCTAATTATTAATAATACAAATAAAAT